ATTCAAGGAGCCAATTTTGAGTATTTTTAATTTGTGTTTCTTTAAGTTTGTAATAGAAGACAAAACATTGTGGGACAATTAATAAATTACTGAAATTTCCTGACACCAAAGACGTGATGTCTTTCAAAATTTGCATTTAATAAAATAAACTTAAAAAAAAAAGTTTCCATCATACATGTACAGTTTAAAAAATAACAGAACAGACGCTACATATATAAATACAGTTAAAATACATGAACATTATATAGAATATACAGTATTGTGATTGGACACGTGGTGAATTTGCAATATTGGGTCAACTGAATGGTCACTTAAAAGTTATTGAATGGTAAAGCGATGTCCTTCAGTCACATTTTAGTATAGAGTTTCAGTTAACTACTCAGTAGATGGCAAAATTTAATCCTGTGTTGGGTCTTTTGTTTTGATCACTAGAGTATAATAAAAGAAACTAATGCACTAATGTCCTTCGAACCTTTTTCAACAATATTTCATTAAAAAACGTTTCATTATCCTATTGCTTTTCTCTCCGATTCTTTATTTTCATTTTGTGTTCCAAATACGATTATATATTATTTTTCTCTATTTATTCTCTGTATTTAAACTACCGGGTATCTCATATTCCTTCTTTCCATGCAAAGTCCATAGTATATAATTTTATTTGTGTCCTTTCCTTCTTATGCCTCTCTCATTCATTCCTGCGTCTTAGTTTTCTCTTTTAATTTCTTCTCTTAGCTGCATGGTCTAGCAAACTTTTCTTATAACACAATTGTTTTTGTATTTTTAGTTGGAAAAAATTTAAATGATATGAATAATTTTAGGGAAAGAATATCAGGAATCTAAATTATGAATAAATACATAATAAAAGTGTTTTCCTCTTACACAATGATGGGTTTATAAGATCGGCCTTTTTATTAATTTCAAAATCTTTCAACTTTTTTCAAAACCAAATATTAAATTGAACATTATTCCACATACTTTAACAATACAAAATGTAGAAATCAATAAATATATTTATCAGTCTTAAAAATTTATAAGAGATTCTAGTTTAATTAATTATACATGGTAAGTTGTCTTATTAGCTATATATTTTTTTAACAAATAAAATATCACATGTTTGAATCAGATGTTTATTGGTGTAAATCTTTTAATGAAGATTATATGAACCGTTATTTAATCACCATATCTGACAATAGAATTTTAAAGTTTAACTTTTTTTAAAACAAAGAAGGACATATAACAACGGGGTAAAGGATTCTAGGTATTTTTCCTTAATGTTTGATACTGACAATATGCCTTTCAGTGTTTTTTTTTTAAATTCAAAATATACTACTTCATAAAATGTTTACTTGTGTATACTTATTTATTAACGAGAAACTTTGAAAAAATACTTTGAAAGTTTATTTTTAAAACACACAAAATATAAGTTCTTGTTTCTTTGTAACAGTATACATTCATATACTTTTTGCTATGTTTTGGACAGACCAACAATTCAGATGCAATCTTCTTCGAGTAATCATTAAGACATGTATTGAGATTGGTCAGTTCGGAAAAAGGAGCCAAGTTTGAGTATTTTCACTTTTTGTTTCGTTAAGTTTGTAATAGAAGACAACACATTGTGGGGCAATCAATAAATTATTAAGATTTCCTGACACTAAGGATATGATAACTTAAAATATTTTATTACATAAAATAAATTTAGACAGTTTAAATCATGCAGGGGTTTTTAACAACAGAACAAATCGACTTTAAATACAGTAAAGTTAAGATACACAAACCATAATATAGAATATTCAGTATCGTGTAAGCACATCACATAGGAACAGTATAAATCTGCGCCATTCAGGCAACTGAGTGGTGTCTTAAAGGTCAGGAAATGACACTGAATGGCAGACCTTTGTTATTCAGTCGATTTTCAGTAGACTTTCAGTTAACTGAGTGACAGAGGTTGATCCTGAGTGGGGTCTTTTTTCTGAAGCACTAGGTATGGTAGTAACTAGTGTACCAATTTTACTGTTTTTCGAACTTCAGAAAGTTGTGTTTAACTCTATAATTAATTTCTGAATGAACTGTAGATTTGTGACTTTCAGTAATTATTTTTTTTCTTACGTACATTGTATATGCAGGTCCTTGGCCTATATTTTTTTGTCCCTTTCCTTAATCCCATGCTAAAGCAGGTCACAAAAACTTTTAAGTTTCTTGATTTTACATAGAATAACACAAGAGAAACATTTTAAACAATATTTTAATACAACTGCAATTTGTCAAAACATGTGTTTTTCAGACATGCATGCCCTTAGGCCAAAACTTCATGCTACAGATTTCCTCGATTTTTAGTTCTTTATTTCCTTTTTGAGGTAATCATTTTGAACTATAAAAGTAAAAGCCAATTTATTTAAGTTATCCCCCCTTTTTTTTTTTGCTTTTCAATATCAAAATATGTTCTTTTTGTGGGAAACTAGAGACATGATTTTGGGTTTTTTCTCGCTTAGTATGTGTTGAAAAGTAAACAGTTTGTTTTGCCTGTCAAAAGTATATAATACTACAGCTAAAAAATATATTTTATGTTCCTCTGTTATTAATGAAAGACTCAACTGAGCTAGTTTTTTGATGGATTAAAAATAAAATAACAACAGTAGTGAAAGTGAAAAAAAAGTCATTTATTGAAGTAAATGACGCAAAACAAAAATAAATATCTTGCTTCTCTCTAAAAGGTGAATTATGTTAATTATATGTAATGTGATTTGTGATGCAAAATAAAAGATTTCGATTATGCATGTAAAATTGCATTAAACAAAATATAATATGCGCATTTCGTTTATGATTTATTAATGTTGTTGGCGTTTTTCAAGAAGAGGGATAAACTATATCAAAATGAAAGAATGTCAACCGAAGTAATATTTTATAAGAAACATATAATTCTAATACTGATAATACACTACAGGTATTAAATTATCAGATTATAAAATAAAGGGAATGTTTATGACTTTAATTCGATTTTTTGATTTGTAATTGGATATTTTCGAGAGAGATTTTTTAAGGATGTATTTTTTATGAATACAGCTTTTTTTTGAAAAATAATATTTTCATAGAATTTTATATATTTACCAAATTTTCTTCGTCCTTTTTTTTTGTTTATAATATCTTAAAGCAATATGAGCTTCAACTTTGATGTTGGAAATTTTGTTGCAAAATTGTAAATAAATATTTTAATGACAGAAAAAAACGTTAATAAACTTCTGTTCTTTATATTTGCGATGAAAGAACTATTCATAATCTTGAATCAAAATTACATTGTCACCTTTACAATAATGATTTCTTGTATAAATTTGTATATTGGAGTGAATTACATGTATATTTTAAATTCATAAAGTTTTAAGTTATTTTTAACATAATAACAACATTTTAACAGCAAAATAATATTTTCTTAAATGCAGCTCTTATTGCTTTAATGCATGGTTGTGTCTCTATTCATATTTAAAACAATATTGCAGTGAAAATATATAATAAATTCTGAATTTGAATAATTATTTTGATAAAAATACTCAAAAAAGATAACAATATATTGTTTTAAATCAAAAACTTAATACAACCTATAAATGCGATTTCAACGCGATGGTAAAAAGAATTAATTTATATCTTTAAAGCAATTGGTCATATACAACAAACTTTTGCTGTCATGCATATTCGGCACTACATGTATGTTTCCAGATTAAAAAATATATATTTTTTCTATTCGGTTAGTGTAACACCTTCAAAAATATCAAATTAAAGTCGTTGAAGATCACACAACACTGTATTTTGGTCAAAGGATCTTTGTCTTCTGTCTTGGAAAATAGCATCAAGACCTTTTATCAGCTGCCAAGTCATGACATCAAATTCTGCATAATAATATCTAACTAATATGCATTATCGACTTGGTACATCATAAGATACATTCAGTGTACATGTGGGTGGCGTCCGTCAATCGTCAATTATCACCCATGACTGACCAAAAACACTGACAGAACACGTGTAAAAAGCCTTGTCTATTTCCCTACAAGAGCGGCACATTACATCAACACGATGTGCCTGGTTCGGCATGTCTGTCAAAATCTGTCAGTTCCAATTGGACGCCATCACGAGCCACTTCAGTTTGGAAGGTACACCACTACCTCAGGAGAAAGGGGCCTCTTAACTGTACTTAATTATTTTGGTATTTATCATTAGTAACTCAATTCCCGATGAAAATAAAGATACGCTGAGAAAGAAGGGTTCTTCTCTCCCGACTAATTTGCGTTTATTATCATATTTGTTTATGCAGTAAAATCATATTTGCATAGAATACATTCTTATCTTTTTTCTCTATGATTTCTTGTTTCGGAGATTCTCATTTTCTTTTGTTAATGTGATTTATGTATTTGGTGTATCAAATTATTTTAAATGAATTCAATTACTATGGTATATTACTCTATACTTCTTATACTAATGGTTCGAAAAGAAGTCTATTATAAAATGTATAATATTGATAATTCTATTTCCATGAAATAGTTATTCATTTAAGACAACTAAAATGATCGATAATTGTTGCAAGATTATTTATTTGTGTCATGATATGTAAAAACCTTCTGTTGCAACCTGGAGATGCTTCGATATATTTTTTTAAAGAAATGAAGTAATATAGTGCATTGACCCATTTTTCAGTTGAATGTGATTACTATGAATTACGTGCTTTCTTATCAATTTAACGTGTATCGGTATTGGGAACATTAATGGTTTTTGAAATAAGGTAAAATGGGCGTATCTCTTTAATATCTTTTTGGTATTTGCGTTCCATCGTCATCAAACACTAAATGTTCTTGTAGATATTAAAACCAATAACAAAAAAAAAAAAAAAAAAAAAAAAAAAAAAAAAAAAAAAAAAAAAAAAAAAAAAAAAAATAAGACCCGACGCGAAACACAACATGGTAAAGAAGAATGAAATCAATATTTTTTTTTATATACAAAATACAGTATAATCCATTCAATAGCACAGTGGCATAAATTTCTGCACAAATAAACAGGAAAAGACAGCAGTATGTTCGTAAAAGATATTTTAAAAAAAGTCTTTTGCACATTCCAAACAACATCTATTTACACTTACGTAGCAATGTAAGTCCTCGTCATCAATTTAATAAAGTTTGTAATCTTTTCTCCATAATTAGAGTCATTTCCCATACGCACCAAATATGCCCATGGCTACTCCGTGTTCATGAGCTTTAAGTCTGAGAGCGGCGATACTAGTACTTCTTCTTTCTGAATTTTCGCAGGGATCGAGTGGTGGGGATTGTGACACCGGAAGTGACATCGAAGGTTGGTGACTGACAGGATATGACGACAAATGACTAGGGTGTGCCAATCCCATAAAATTTGGGACGGTGGACTGTGATGCCATGCAGTTGGAATTTTGCATGGAATAGGGAATTTGAGGGGATGCTGCCCAGGGGTTGTGTTGAAGCTAAAAATGTCAACAAAGAAATAGCATTGAATTTCTCTTGGAAAAAATGATTAATTTTATCAAAAATTTTCATAGAACAATTGTTACGAGTCCAGAGGACTAGATTCGCTGGTTTGAGTATTTCAAAAATGCTAAAAATGAATACGAAATAATTGCAAATTTTTTACCCAAATCGTTTAAACTAATTGTTTCGTAGTAAAAGTTGTACATTATTTGCCTAGCTTTGACAACCAAAAAGGATTGTCATTTCATTTCCGCATTAGTTATAACATGTATTTACAAAATTAAAAGAAGTGAAAATTTTGCCAAAGAAAAAGCAAAACTTTAGGCCAACTTTAAAATGATGTTTGCTTCAATGAAGAATTATTTACAGGTGGCGTTAATTACCTGTGAATAAGCATCGTGTCTTGGAGTGAGCTGGAAGTCGTAAGGGTTGGATCCGCCCGTCATCGCTCTCATTCCCTGCAGCTGACCAAACCGCTCCCTCTTTCTCCACTTGGCACGGCGGTTTTGAAACCATACCTTACAAGTAAATAAATTAACTTTATTTTTTTTTCTGACGATATACATTTTTGCGATAATATGTTCAAGAAATTCTATATACTAGTGCAGGTTTGTTTAAGCTTCGAGCGAAACTTCCAAACATGATCTAAATTACATCACTTTATAAAGCAAATAGCCTTCATGTTACTCATAATGTTTGATGAATATTGATTGAAAAAGTATTCAAAATATTTCCATTATAATATTTCATTTTCTAACTAAAATATTTTATTTCTTGCTGAGTCATTATATTTTGTTATGGTTAGTTAAGATTCTATGAACAGAAATTTTACGCGATCCATAAAAATTACCTAAATGAATTAAGAATTTAACATTCAACAGCACAAGATAATTCCTCATTTAAAATAATATCAATGTCATCTCAATGTATTTGTAATATCCGAAGAATCTGTAAAATAACTAAGGATCTTTGAAGATGTATTCAAATGAAACATCAATATTTTATTTTAAGTACAACATATCGGCATTTGTTTTATGTATATGCAGCGGAACATTTAATCAATTAACATTTTCATTTATTTGGAATCCCAGGATGATACTTAAGAAGAACTCAATTATATCTTTCATCTGGTCTTTGAGAAAAACAACCCAAACGTCCAGTCTTCGGCAACATGTAAAAGTAGTACTCACTTGTCCGGACTGGATTTTAATCAAACGAAAAGCGAATTTTACACAAACAGACATGTGTGTAAATAAATCGACAGAAAATGGTTCGAATTAAGCTTTATTGAAATTGGCAGAGTACACGGACTTCACGACGGTGGCTAATTAACGCCACATGTCCTCTGGTGGCTGCGCATCGTATGTCTGGTCGTCCATCGACCCATGCACTTTAAAGACCTTCCGATTTATCAGAGTCACTTCAACTTTCTTTTTGCCTCATGTTAGATTGTGTTTTAATTATTCGTTTGGCAATACAAAGTATCAGACCGAACCAGAAATAACATCGTTTTTCTTTTAAGATATTATTTCAGGTGGGGATATAGGGCCTGCGTCCACCAGGATGTGTTTTGCGGGTTTTAGTGGAGTCTTTGATGCATCACGTGCCAGCAGAGTTATCTTTTAATTAAAATATTCATATGTATGCATGTCTTCTTTAATTGAGAAATATTTCTTACCATTCCAAGGAGAATACATAGCATATTTAAAGTCAAGGTCTCACATAGTAAAAAACGCAATGAATGTGAATTAGTCTACTTCGTAAAAAAATCCTGATGGAGATAAATTTTAATTTAGGTACAGTTTAAACAAAAAGGTTTAACATTCATTCGTGTTCGTTTAATTATGATGTGTCCATTTTATATATTTAAGTAGTTAAAGAGAAGAAGAAAAAATTAATTCAAATCTTTGATGGTAAAAAATATTTTTGAAAATCCTGCTTTCGAATCCCTTTCATATTACATCTAAACATCAAAGTATATAATTCAAATCAAGCAACTTAACCCAATTTTTTTCATTTGATGTTATTAAATGAAACATGCTTTTCCATTTCTTTGACAAGATAAAATGCTTATTAATGCTCATGCATGGCTTTAAGAAAAAAAAATTATATTGCAGTTTCATCTTGGATTATTGCAGAAAGGTTTTTGATAATTGGAAAATTGCAACTGTTTAATATAGAAATTTGAAGCATTTAATATACCAAAAAAAAAAAAAAAAAAAAAACAAAAAAAAACAAAACAAAAACCAGATGTCATTTTTATTTTTAGCTTGTAGATGTATCATCTGTCCTTTAACAATTTATAGATATATTTACAAGATAATATAGATATCACGTAGGAAAAATATACATATGCTGCGAATATTAGTAAGAAGAATTTCTAAATATAATGTGCCTGACCCCGAACACCTTAAAAATGACGATCTTCAAAGAGAAGGCGAACAAGATGTACATGTAGATCGGAATTTGCATCGTGTCGAGTCAGTGTACATTACCGATAAAAATCGCGCCTAACGACCTCTTTTTGCATTGAATCTTTTCTGATAAAGCCCTTTTAAGCTTTATATCATAAAAGTTTATTATCTCATTTGAAAAGTGGGCGTGACTTCAATTACTTAACAAAGGTTGAATGCTAATCTTTTATTTCTTTTGTTGAATGGGTTCTGAAGGAAAATCATAAGAATTTTCTCTTGAATTATGAAATCTTTTTGGCGCATCCAACTCAGACAGTTGTTTTTATAAAACAAGTTCATACAGATTAACTTGTTTATAGCTTAATTAATTTCGAGTTTCCTCTTCTTAGTGCAAATTATAAAAGTTTTCTCGTTAATTTGAAATTTTAACGAGACACGATGCCAAACTTCTCAAAATTAAGACACAAATCACCGTCAAAGGCTTTAACGAGCAAAAGAAAAACACTGCTTTCTTCTGATATAAATATCATTTCTTTGTAAGTGACGTCGGGTCCATTTAACGAAAAAAGAAGAAACATTTGAAAAGTGAATAGTTTAATCGCCAGTATTGTCTGCAATGGGCAAATGACGCCGTCAGGACTCGCCTCCCAAAGAGCGCGCGGCACTGCAAATAGTCATTACCGACAATAACGGAATAATGTATTAATCAGATTAAGCAACAAAATTTCGACATCCTGGGGAGTTTAATTATTGCAATGATTAGCTATCTACTGATGCATCTTTAAATATGTCTTTCCACCGTTTTGAGATATTCGCAATCTCAACTCAGTCTGAGAAAAAGCATGGAGATTTTAGCGTTCTTTTTTCCGATGGGTGGGTGAATTCCCTAAACACTGATATACTTCAAAGAATGCTCTTCGTGCATTGATATGATATATTCCGCAATGAAATTCGCAGGACAGAAAATTTTAATTAAATCTCAGCGCCGTTCTAAGATTGGTTTGCGGTAATGTTTTCAGAGGCTTTTTAATGTTACGTATTTTCAGACGCATGACCCTCATTAAATGTTCTAATTTTTCAGATTCTATCTAAAAGCAATTGCAATTATTCCTAGTCTTTTCTTGCATGATTGTTATCCCCTTAATTGATTCAGGAATATAACAGGAGATTAATTTTTAGTTGGCATCAATAAATATATCGTGTTAATTTCATTTATTACGTGTAAGACTAAACTTATAGTGCATCACCGATTGAATCATTTCTATCTCACTATTACATTAATTAAATGCAAAAGATTTCCTCTCTCGAGATATACGTATCACTAGCATTGATCACTAGGTGTTTTTCTGTTGTGATGAATTGATTAAATTTTAAAAAAGAGAGATAACTCTTACATAGCCGTATCTTATTTATTACAAAAGATCTACCTAAATATCTGCTTCAAGTACTCAGAATGCATCGTGATTAGACGTAAACTAAAATATAAATCCTCGAAAGATCTTGATTTAAATGAAACTGACATTATTATTTTTTTAATATTATTAACATTATGCATAAATCAGGTAAAACATTTCTTAGATTTATTATCTAATGGGCAGGTTTTTTTTAACAAAACAAAGAAAAAAAAAACGTACAAAAAGGAAAATTGGTTCGATATTTTTGTTGTTGTTGATTGTATATTATTGACTTGTTCTATAGAGTATTTTAAGATGTAACCAATTTACAAGGTTTAAAACGAGAAATATTTTTTTTTTCATATTTTAGTTACTCGATGAAATAAGTATGCTGTTACGTTTTTAACATGAATAATTATATGCAATATTCATCCTTTTTCTCTCTCGAAGTTTAACAATATGATCTTCAAAGATAAGTTTGGTACCTCTCATAATTCTCAACATGCACCAAATCAAGCAAACTTATTTCAAAGAAAACTGTGCAACAAGAAGTTGAGAATTATGCCAAATGTTAATCGAAAGAAACTTATGTTTTTATGCCAGAAATAACAAAAGGCATATTTATCACAGAAAAATAATAAATTAAGAAATTACATAAAATTTTCTTCTCACCAGTGGTTAATTAAATTTGAAAAGTATTCGCGAACTTTCAAATAATTCAAACAAGTGTTTGGAAGGTGAGTAATCAGTATTAGTCACAAGTTTTATTTCAAATCTTCATGTGTAAATAAGGCAAAAACATGGAGTCCCGAGTCTCAAGAAATATACATGAAGAAGTAAATCGGAAAGAACGGACCCTGCCGAGAATGGTTCGTCGAGTCTCCACAGCGAAGATTACTGCGAGCGGCTTTTCACCGTGTAGTGGTAATTGATAGACCAATTTTCATATTCAAATAATTGAATTATTATAACAAGATAAGTGAATATACTTTGGCCCATTGATTCATCAAGCGATCAAAAGAGACACTGATGGTATATTTACATCTTTTGATAGGCAGGGAAGTTGTCAGCGAGTCTGCGGTCCGAATTCTTGGAGTTTACTCCTTAATTTTACGACCAAAACAATATAACATAAAGAAGCTTTTATATTTCATTAATTCAAAAGAGATATTTAAATATATATAATTGACAAAAGGCTATTGAGTTCGTGTTAACAAATAAACTTCAAGCTAATTTATGCATAGACATCGCAACCCGCTTTCGTCTTCCCTTTTTCCGCAAAAGAAAGAAGTTCGGCAATTTTTTTCTATTTGAAAAGAAAAAATGAAAAAGTAAAGCGCAACTATTAAGTTCTATTATAATTAAAAGTAGATTTTCAACTAATCTAAATGCACGCGCGAGCAGACATTTTGTCTGAATGCTAACTTCTGGTTTTCTTTGAGGGTTTAGGTTCGATTGTTCTAGGGGTACGGAAAGCTGAATTTTCGGGAGGCGGGGATTCTAGTGTTGCGCCCTGGGATAGCGCGTGCATCGCGTACCCCGCTGGGCGATTATAATTTGCATCAGCTGGATCGTTTTCATGCTTGCCTCTTAGATAAACACGATTATGTTGATGAGTGTTTATGTTCTTGTAATATAGACTTTTTCGACATCAGCCCCATGTTTTAAACGTGCTGAGGGTCATTTTTGCGGGTCAAGATGAAAGACAGATGAATGCATCTGCAATTTTCATGTCTTCTTTAATCGTTGCGCATAAAATATGTCCACGTGCTTAAGGTTTTGTTTTGCTTCGTATGTGAATCTCCTGAAAGTTAATAGATTGCATACTTGAGGTTTTGGGACACTTGAAAAAATTATTTTATATTAACCCAGAGTGTTTGTAAATGCTGAAGTAAAATCAAAATTAATTTTTCACTTTAATGAAATGTACCACTGAAGAATATTAACTAATTCTATTTCATTAAACTTAATAGGAATTTCCACATTTGTCGCATTTGTTTCACACGGTTCCTAAATTAATAACTTTTTGTAAGTATAACATTTGAGAAGCAAAAACAAAGTACATGTATCTGTTTCTTAAAGACCAACTAAAAAATGTTAATGGAAAGTCTCAAGTTAGTGATGAAGTTTATGCTTGACTGTTTCAAAGCTTTTAATATTTTTTTTAAAGGGTCTCCACAATTAAATGACACATTTATGCTATAGCTGGAACTAAATATATTAACTTTCATATTTATATGTAGGATTGTTTTCAAAAACTATAGGCTTATGTTTTCGGATATATATTTCCTAGTTTTATTTGCAGTTTATCTATTTTTTGTTATGAACATATGAAATACAAACATGATAACTTAGATTTACGAGTATATATATGTCTTTGACTAGCAAAAATTTTAGAATGCCGATGAGTATTTGACTAATTCTTGATGTTCTCATCGGTAAACGAAATTTGTTAATTAGAAAAAGACACGTCTGACAAAAATTAAGATTTTATTTTTAAAAACTTTCACTGGACAACATATTCAAAAATGCTTTCCTAAAATTGTTTATTCTTGGGAATGTCTTATATCTCAAAATTCATTTTAACGACAACCCAAATATACATGTAACTGGTTGAACTTGTTATGAATGTTCATCTTGCTTACAAATTAAAATTTTGTTCATAACATTTTAAATTTCGATAATCATGACATGAGATTAGTCTCTGGGAATCGTGAATAATTTTAATGAATCATTTTTTTTTTCATTATCTATGTCGACATTCGAAATTAAACATATTAATAATGACAGTAAAAGAAAACGATATCTTCGGTATTCTTGAAAAAAAATATACATGTATAAGACGTTTTATATACATTTTAAAGTCAAGTTTTTTTTTTTATTTAAAAAAATCTTTCTCGGGCTTTTTGAATTTATATCATTTAGAGCAAGTCTGATGAATTGTGAATGTTTGAATATTTATTCTCACTAAAAATGCATGATTCTTGTGCAAAGATATAGAAAACGTTTGTTTTCTGCCTGTAATTAGTAAAGCACAATTCAATGATGAAATACAAAAATCTGTGTTCTGTTCCCATATCTCTAATTTACTATTGAAAATTGCTCTATATCTTCTACATTAATTGGAGAAGATTTGATTTATTTTTCATTGTCTGAATTTCTGTATAAAATCTAAGACATTTAAACCTAGTATTTCAAACCTAATAGAGCAAAGAAATACATACCAAAAAGGGATCGGAAAGCTTTGTAAATTTGATCCCTTCAGTAATTTTTTTTTTCCAGTTTGAGTTGTTTTCCTCAATTTTTCCCCCTTAATGCTAATACAGTGGACAACCACTTTATGTAAAGCTGATAATCATTCGGGGATTAAGTCGAAAATTTCGGGAAAAATTATTTGTTACGAAATTTTATATATTGGACATACTTTAATTTTTTTTCACAACTTAATGGTTCTTAAAAATCTTTGGATGCTTTGCATTGTAAAATAAGTTGCTATGACCTAGAGCTTATCATTTTACAAGTGTAAAATATTTCTGATCGAGATTTTGGACTTTTAAAGGATTTAAAGAAACTCTCTTGCATTTATTTTGACTATACTTGTAAATCATTTGTTAGAAGTTAAAATAAAATGTTTGCATTGATAAATCAACAATAACTGTGTAAAGTACTAATTTGGTTTTTGTGCATTTAGGTATAAGAAAATTGAAAACCTTACTTATGAGTAAGCAATGAACAACTGCAACTATAATATATAAGCATATCTTCTGAATTATAGTAACATGTACATTTCAACATAAAAAAAATTGAAAATATGTCTTAAAAACAGTATATGAAAACGATCATTTTAAAGATAAATATCAAATTGCATGCATAGCCGCGATTGTTCAGCTGTGCAGTATGTGAGAATTATAAATTTATGTGCATTCTGCATCTTGTTTTGTTCGATTTATTTCATTGATAAAATGGCCCGAAGCCGGGAGAGCATATTTCATATAAATCCTAAAAAACAGGAGCATTAAACTGTTAACAGTGCAGTTGGTCACGATTAAGCACTTAAGCCTCTTTTACACCAAAGGGGTGAATTTATTTCGATTATATTGCACATTTCATTTTTAATAAGATTTGTCTTAAATTTATTTCTATGAAAAATATTATTAAAAGAAGTATTGATTGCAGAATTGATAAGAATAAGATTAAGGACGATTCTACAATTTCAATAGCATTTTTTTTTCTTTTATTACTAATTGACTTATTTAAAACTTGATCATATAAAATATGTTATAATAATATATAAATTAGAAATTCAACATGTTTTCTCTTTAAATTTGAATAAATAACATAATAATTCATTTTAAATTATTTTTTTAACTTCTCACTCCCCGGGTTCTTCGCCTTTCCTTAAAATCAATTGCAATTATTCTTCTCCCTAAATACTACTTTATATTTACAAAAGGTTGATCACAAACAAATTGTCACAAATTTTACACTCACAGTAAACAGATTAACTTCGCGAGACATCCGGGTGCATACATATTTAGACACGTGTATAATGCCACCCACACCCGTCTATAGAACATCAATAAACAAATCTACAGGGGGCGTGGCACCTCGCCCGTCAACTCTCTGACGGAATCGTCTCTCATGTATTTTGTATTTTCAATGGTTTATTAGGGATCCCATATATTGATTTTAAAAATCATAATTTATATTACGAAAAACTATGTTCAAAAAGGGTGAGATTATGGATTTGATATGACGATTATTATCAAATTTCTTCTATATTTCTGATTTTGAATTGTACATGTTAGAGGTAAAGGGGAAAAAAAAAATTCACATTAAAACAATAACGAAATGATGTAGGCATGTAAATTCCGATGTGTGTAATACTTTCCAATGTCAGAATTTGCAATTTATTATTTTTTTTAAATAGAAAAAATGTGTGCTACTAAATATAAATGCCTTGTTGAATGTGGTTCATAGAAAAATAAGATTATTTGAAGCAAAAAAAAAAAAATTAAAATGTGAATCCTTTTATCCATACCTGGACCCTGGCTTCTGTAAGATTACACCGTAAAGCTAGCTGTTCGCGAGCGTACACATCTGGATAATGGGTCTTCTGAAACACTCTCTCCATTTCTTCCAACTGGAAGCTGGTAAACGTCGTCCGATTCCGGCGTTTCTTGTTTTTGTCCCCCTCACTGATATCGTCTTTCTTTACATCGTCACCTTCATTGTCCTCTGTTTCTTGTTTGATGAATTTTTCCGGGGAATTTGGTCCAGATTTTACGCTGTTTCCGGGTGATTCCGTCTTTTCTGAAGATGACGGAATATTTTCATTTGAGCCGTGGTGGATAGTTTTGTTGATTTCTCTCTCCATATCTAAATTTAAATAAAAGGGCAAATTGTGAATAAAATATTGAAAGTTTTATTTTAAATTCTTGTTATCCAGGCATCCCCAAATAAATATAAATTGGTGAAATATATTGTTTATTGATAAAAAAAAAAGAACACGCAATTTTTAATGGAAAGAAATAAAAATATATTACAAATAATTTAAATTCTGCATTAACGGAGCCTATTATTCAATAAACATTGATGTAAGTTAGCGGCTTGCAGCCACTTTGGAACTCTTGAAATTCCTCGCGCGAGAAAAAAATAAGTTACCAAATTTCACACTCAATAAAAACCATCCGCGATAAATAGTCTTATCCGCGTAGTGTATATACTCAGATCGTTATCAAAAAATTGAATTATATGCTGGCTTACAAAGATTATTAGCATAAATAAATAGCAATTTATCTTTATTGAAAGTAATGAAATTTATTATTTCCAATCAACAGGCAATCGACGGGAATAGAATTGTTCGCTAACAAGATCTCCTTAACCTTCCATTGATAAAGAAAATTTATGACCTTTCAAATAAAGTACCATTGAAAATAAACCAAGAAAAGCCATAATTGTTCTATCTTAAGTGGTAGCATCTTTATTCATAATAAAATCACCATGTACAAGTGTCATGATTTAAAACATTATAGCTTAAACTATTTGGTGAGTATAAATCATAAATATAGAAAAACTTTTTTTTTCTTTATTTGTAATTAAACACCAGTGCTTTAATCAAAATTAATTTTTGTCACCAGAATTTTAAAGATATTTTATTTAATTTTTAAAATACTTCATTCGCATTTAATTTGATTTTCTTTGAGTAAAATTAATGTAACAGTACCTTTATTCAGCCGCTCCAATGTAAGTCCCTCTCTTCCGCGGGTCCCAAGGATTCCTTCGATGGTGTGTTGGTTGTAGGATTCTGGTCTGTGTCCCAAAGACAGGTCAGGGGGACGGGGCATTGCCCCTCCCAGCATATCCAATCCACCAGGGCCACGAATGGAATCCGTCATACTCGCGTAATCCGAAAACATTGACATTTCAAAAAATTCAAATCAAAATTCTATCTAAGAATTTTGATCAGTATATTCTCAAAGAATGTTTTATTCCAAAAAATAATTCCTTCCCTCTATCTGATCTAAGGGTGAGTAAGATTAAGTTGTAGTCTCCAAGTTGCTGAATGAACCTCTGACTAAAAATTTTTTTTCGGATCGTTGCCTCTTGTATAAATATAGCATATGAGGGGCAGTCGCAATATACAACAGTAAGTATGTTTCTCCGAGTACCGATAACTCCTTTCCGAATCACCCCGCGGGATATCGCCCCACTGTTTAATTATGTATGAACCCAGAACCGAGTAAAAACTTTGACACGTATGCAAAAGATCTCTACCCGTAGATTTTTCTACTCTGCCAGGAACCAAAACCAACCCACCATTTCAACATGTGTGAATATGTTTGCATAAAATATAATACGATAGCCTGATACTTCCCTTGCAGAAGGTAATTTTTGGCGCGCTTATGACGTAATGTCAATATTGCGATGCCACATTGGTTAATCCAAGAAATCGGTCGCTTTACACTTTGACCATGCCTTCCAACACGCTTAAATGCTACTTAGTCTCGCACAATCCGTCACTGTATTATTTGATTATAGGCGCTAATAAGCAACCACTTTAACCTTACGTTATTTATGATTTAACCTATATGATACACAGAGAGATCCAGGGCATCATGCAATTCACCTAAAAGCAATTCGACGCCAGTGGTCGGAAAAGTATACGTAATTGAATGTTTCAATCTCTACTGATAAAAAAAGATGATGCCAAGATTTGTTCACCCAAAAATTCAAAAAAGACTCATCATAAAGGAAATAGATTTTGATAATGGTATTTGAAATATAAAATATGGTAAGTCAATAAAAAACGGTTCTTTGGCTTACTGGAACACAATGCTTTCTTGCTAAACATTTATTGTTTTAATTTTGATCGAATAAGATTCTCTTTTTATCACTTAGAGATCAATAAAAATAACCTTTATACAAACATTGTTATTAATATTATTAAATGATTTGAATAAAATTTTACGCGTAAAAAATCTTTACACAAAGAAAACCTTTTCTGTTCAAATTTAGTCGTATCTTAATTTAAATAAAGTTAAATTTCAGGCTAAATTTCTATCTTTTCATATCAATATAATTTACATCCCATAAAACAAGTTAATGCAATGTTATCATATCAAAATAATATGCATTAAAATAAATGTCTTTTTCACTCTTATCTAAGTACATTCGTGTAAAACATATCATAAAGTAAATTAAAACGGAAGGCAATTTACAACTTTTCTTTGTAAAATGCATTTTATTCGCTTGCAAGAGTATGCTGATAATGCATGTTTTATTTCTTAATCTATCAATTTTTTTTCTCACATAGGTGCAAAAGTCTTTGATTTAGAAAAACTTTTGATTCCGTAAAAGCCATGGTAGTTATCGAATGGTTAACTCTGATTTACATCATAGCATATATACAACAAAATTAAAATGAGTGCATGTATAAATTACTCTTATAAATGTCTTCTGAATAACTCCATACACACGAAAGATATTGTCTTGCAATAAAAAGAAAAGAAAAAGCATAATGGGGCGAATCCCTTCGAATCAGTGGGTGTAAGTGAGCCAAAATGACGAGTATTCTTTAATGCGACAAAACAATAAAGAAGACAAAGAACTAAATGCGTCGGGGGATTGATTTTTTGTTTACATCTCATATAATGTGATATCATAAGGAGAAGGGAAAACATTCTTCTTGCAAAAGAATAAAGAAAACCCCAAATACCAGACAGTACAGCAAAACCCGAAGTACTGAGAAAGAAAATAACAAAAGTGCTAGAGACGACAAACCACATGGCCTAACGCAAGGAGTAAACACGGTCTAGCTATTCCGTATCAAATCTTATACTCAGAAACCCAGCTGAGAAAGTAATTGAATTTAATCAACATCTAATATGCATTTTCATTTTTATCAAAACTCTCCTGCGTCGCAGCGGAGTAATTTTGACTGGCTCTTGCAGAGCGCGCGCGGCGTGAAAGGGTACTGCATAATCTGACGAACATGTTATGTGCACATTACATCGGATTCGCTTATGAAACGCAATAATACCGCCACATCATATCAACTTTCTTTTTTAATAATTGTAAATGAACATTAATTCTCTGAACTAACTTCTAATGTGGAGCGATTATAACGCAAGGTGTGAGTGCTCTTTGCTGGGTTTTCCGTACTTGAGCGAATCGATAAATGAAAAGATCACAGAATAACACATTTTCTAACATGTTGCATTTTATGGGTTTTAGATTCAGGAATGTGTTTTATATATATACATGCAGACATTCTAATGGGATTTAGATGGTTATAAACTTTGAGGAATATATCATAATTCCTTTTATTTCTTTTTATGAGATGACCGAATTATTTACGAAATTTATAGAGTTCAGAGACTCGGGACAAACGTTACCATGATGTAAATAAATTTATAAATTCGGACATTGACAGCAAAATAATTGAAACGAATATATATTATTTAACTTCAATTTCTGATATCCAAAAGTATATTTAAATAGATAAAGAAAATACTTGACACATAGATTTTTTGATAATTATGTAATTGCCTCAATCGCAAAATTCAGCACTACAGTTCTGCTGAAAAAGGGTAAAAATAAACTGCGTTACAATTTGATTTTTGCAGATTCGATTTCTAAAAATTGCAAGGATTGGTAACATTTTTTTCTTCAAATTACTGGTTCTCTTAAACTAATTCACAACTTACAAAGAAAAAAACCCAACAATATCGTGTGATGCTGAATAAGTCAAAGTTTGCTGCTTATTAAAGTGAACCCAAAATCTTATCCACAAAGTTAAAACTTGACTTTTACGAGAAGCACTGACTTTTACAGTTGACTGTTTACTTGGATATTATTTAAACCTGTAGATCATCTAAGAGTAATTCGTAAACCGTAAAAAGTCAGAGCTTCTCGAAAAAGTCCACTAGTCGAAATGTATTTGAGACCTAACTAAGGGAGATAAACAATGTGTCTTCTTCTGCCATAGTTCCTTATTATTACGCAAGTAAAATTATATTTCATGGTGTATTACGCAGAATGTAAAAAGTTTTGTACTTCACGTAAGTTCCTTTAAAAGAAAAAAAAAGATACATAATCCCTATATTCATTTTAACTTCGGACGTCCAAAATAATAGAGATTCTTCAAAATATTTATTTTTTGTGTATGCATTTCTAACAAAATATAGATTTATTGTTGCGCTTTATATGTTGGATATTAGATTCAATTTTTTGTAAATTTCTTGTTGGCCGCCATATCAGGAGTCAACATGCTCATATTCCATTATTCAAACAACTTTAACTTTTTATACTGTTATTTGTGGTGGTATGAAGCATTTTTTTCTGAAAAATGTTAGGTCCTATTATATTTTTTTTTTCATAAAGATTTATCCCAAAATATTTCCGCTACACCCTGGTTAGAGAAAAAATTACAAGGTTGACCACCTAAGATGGCGGCCAAGGGAAATAACTCGGAGAGAAAATATGTCATATAAAAACTATCTACCATGAAATGAATTTAATTATCAAACCCTTAATATTGTAAATTCATGATGTGATCTATACCGCACAAAAATTCTTTGGATTTGAAATGATTGAATGATATAAGTTTTTAATAAATGTAGAAAAGGGGTATTTACGTTTGTTTGTTTATTTTTTCAGATTTTTTTTGGCGAAAAATTTTCACTAATATTCAGATAAATGTACCACAACTTTATAGAATACATGTAAAATTGTATTAAAAAATTCACAGCAATGAACACATATTGGGATAAAACCAGTTTTATTTTCACTTTTCGATATATAAAGTAATGAAAACAAAATAAATCGCGCACATACGTGCATTTGAACCAATAAAAAAGGGAACAAAATAATTCAGAAAACAGTACCAAATATACTTAGACATTTAGTTATACACTTGCATTGGTTTCATCGTTCCATTCTGTTCAGCTTTCCATTTTCCTTTATAAAATGGTTCCCCCTTTTATTTTTTTTTTCACATATAAAGTATATTAAAATACTAATTAAATAATTTTTAATACCGTTTACATGTAATGCCTTTAATTAACCATTTCAAAATAAAATATGAAAGACACAAAAATATTTTTACAGCAATGCATTGTTACAACCATGTTTTGGCTTGTGCTCACACTGTTTGTCAAATGATGATACTAATGCTTGCGCTGTTTCAATGCAATGCATTTATTTAATGGCTTATATAAATTAAAGTATATGTTGTTGGAAAAAAGGAATACATAGTGTAAATTTTCCCCACCAGATCTACATGTACATGAATGTCCAAAGTAAGTAAAAGTTGCCTCTGACAAAAAGCCAGACAATAATCAAAACATCATTGGTTACGAGAAAAAAATTGTATCGATAATTGTGAAAAAAAAACTTTACAGGGCAAATCAGTCAAATAAATTCAAGTGCTATACATTTTAATCAGTAATAAAAATTCTACAAGCATTAAAAAGTATTAAATACAATCCACCAGTTTAAAGTGAGATTCCTTAAAAAAATGAAATTCAAAATAAAACAAATCGATGATAAAACAAAAATGTCTGCATTATTCTTATAAAGGTCCAGACAAGAATATGTAAATCTTAAAAACAAGCCGCATGTAGATTCACATCCTTTGAATATGCGTAAGCAAATCTAATACTCTTCATCCGACCCCTGTTCTAGTCGTTCTATGTAATAAGTCGGGAGTCCTCGCTTAAGTCGTCGTACACGGGTTCATCGAGGTGTTGAACCCGTACCCGGGCCACGACATCTAACTTCATCTTGCTGAAATCCTTGACGTACGTAGTGAAGAAAAAGAGGAAAGCAATAGCCGTGATCCATTCGGATACTGAACTTATTATATGAGTGGTATATCCCTGGAAAAGAACATGTATGCTTGACTAATGCAAACGGCTCTCGTGAGTCTCTGTTAAGATTGTAGCTCAACTGCCTTACTGGTTTCGGATAGTGAAAAAGAAACGTTGTGCATTGAGTTGAAAGACTTTAATTTTAGTTTTATATAGGAAATCTCATAATGTTTTCTGAATTTCAAAGAAACTTTATCTTTAGTAAACCCTGATCACAACGTAAAAGTTGATTAAAATCAAACAGAGAAAATTTGGACAATGTACCATGCTTTTTAGTCCCTTGCAAATGAGATGGAGGGGATATAGTGTGTGTGAGGGGTGTGTCCTTCTGTGCGCAACGGAAGTGACGCAATTTGCATCAAAATTCTTGTTTAATGTACAGCTGCAGGACTGTAGCGTTATGGTACATGTATTATATATTTTTGTTTTTGACCATAACAAAATATATAAAACCATAACGCCACAGTCCTGCAGCTATGTTTTATGTTGCTTCGTTATTTTATGTCATTAGAATTTAAACGACTTAAACTTACACCGTCCGAGGGTTTCCAATGAAGCCTGTCCTTGGGATGACCTTGGTACCTGGAAATAGCAGCAAAGACTAAGCCTGAAACGAGAAAAGGGGTGTATCCTCATAAAGTACAAACGTATTTTTCTAAAGAACATGGGTTTACAATTTGGATATACTTTAGAATTATATTACTAATACTGTAGAAGTATAGTTTTTATGCGCTCGGATCGAAAGATCCGAGGCGTATATTATTTTTGTCCTGTCTGTCTGTCTGTTTATCTGTTTGTCTGCAAACTTTAACCTTCGTCATAACTTTTGAACCATGAATGATAGAGACTTCATATTTGATATGCCTATTCCACTAATTAAGCTCTTTCAAATGACACCAAGGTCAATGATCTTGTGGCCTTAACTGTGGCCTATATGCTAAAAATATTTTTTTTCTGCAAACTTTAACCTTCGCCATAACTATTGAATCATGAAAGATAGAGACTTCATATTTGGTATGCATACACCACTGATTAAGCTCTTTAAAAATGATCAATAACCTTGTGACCTTGACTGTGACCTATACAATAGAGATAGCTTTTTTGTTGGAAAACTTTGACCTTTGCCATAACTTTTGAACGAAGAAAGATAGAGACTTAATATTTGGCAGGCATACTTCACTAATTAGGCCTTTTCACATGACATCAAGGTCAATGACCTTGTGACCTTGACTGTGTCCTTTGTGCTAAAAATAGCTTTTTTGAACCTTCATAATAACTCTTGAACCATGAGAGATGGAGACTTCATGTTTGGTATGCAGACTTCACTAATCAAGTTCTTTCAAATGACATCAAGATCAATAACCTTGTGACCTTGACTTGACCTATATGCTATAAATGTGTTTTTTTTAACTCTGTTGCCGCCGGGCGCATTGAGTTTCACAAACACATCTTGTTTCCCCTTGGTATTAATTTACGCTATGTACGCGGTCATAAATTTTGCGCGGAAATTTGTTCCATTGAACTTAATATAAATATAAGGCATATAAGGAGAGTCTTAAGATATCCGCGTTATTTTCTACCAGCGAATTGAACAGAAATTGAGATTCCGCGGAAAAAAAAAACATAAGTAAGAAAAGAACATGTAAAGGTATTTTTTTTTATTTCATAAGTTGTTTCAAATAAAAATTAATTGTCTTCAAGAGGTCTGCTGAACATTTTAAAAGCATTTATTATGCATGTTAGTGTTGCGAGTATTCAGCGGATCTAACATCTAATTTTAATTAGATTGTGACAGTGTGACAAGTGGTTTTCAGTTGATAAAGTAAAACTGTTGCATCCTTATAAATGACAACCAAACAAGTGGCCAAAAAGGGGCCTTAGCCTATCTTGTCCTTTAGGTCTCTGGTTTTCCCTTTCAGTTCCATAAAAATAAAGGTAGTAGTCTTGATTTGTGACATAAATAGAAGTACTAGATATATTTAAATCATTTTCTGTGCAATTATTATGTAGACTTGTCAAACAGAGGCAAACTATACAACGATAAAAGGAATTTCCCACAGAAACAGAAAATGAGATATATCTCGCCGACAGTGATCCACGCTGGAGGACATTTCTCTCTCTGTAGCCACTCTGTCGTAATTAGGGTGAGATGCACTTTTACCTTTCATTTTTTGGTTTTTGTGTAAAGTGCTCATATATCATTATGCGGAACCAGATGCATAGTGAGTTCTTCCCTTTCAGCAGAATTAGAGCGTGTAATATTATCCGAACTTCTAATAATAATTATTTCTTTAGACTTATTTTCTATTTTTTTTTCTCATACAATATAAACTGGTATTAATGCTTATATTTGATGGTGTTTATGCAGTGAAAATTTTCCCTTCCTTAGCAAAGGGCACACGAACTTGAGGAAAAAATACGTCTTCCCCAATGAAAAGCGTATCAGGTTTGGAAAGTTGTTTATTTTCTGTAAGTCTACAACGTGTCTTTACTGAAACGCTTGAAATATGGAATAGATTCTCGCTTTTTTTGTTGTTCCATGACCTGAAGGTATCTCATGACCTTGACTCAAGGTCAAACATCAAAGGTCTTCACCTGACCTTTCACTCCAGGTCATTTTTAAGGGAGTCATATATCTTATAGGAGTCTTTTAACGCAGTGTTTAGCGCATTTGTTAAACAATTGCAGAGCAAGGTCATGATCCTTATGCCACGGATTTGACTCCTTTTGTGGGACATGGAAATCCACCCTTCGGATGAGACCATATAAACAGAGGTCCTGTGTTACAGTTGGATCTGCATAGAAAATACCTCTTAGGCTGTAAATAGTTATAAATTTGCTGCCATCAACCGGCATAAAACAAACATACCAACAAAAAGGGTAGTGCAAAGCGGAGCATCCTGTCACAAAGAGTAGAAATCATTGATACCAATGCAAATTACCTCACTTCTGTTTCGTTCAGCACTACATGTAACTCACCCACTCACAAACTTATACAGATCTGGGTTACTGTATCCCCTCCATCTCCATTGCAAGGGGATGACAAACAAACACAGGATTTTATAAGTAGAAACTGAGCCCACCTATAGTGATGTGATTGGTCATTAGGTAAGGTAAAAAAAAAAAACAAGTAATTTCCCAGAATGAATGTAAATGAAGTCTGTCTAGGGCCGAAGTAGACTCAGGCCCCTGATATATGGAAAAATACAAGATATGCAGTTGAACTTTGATATCTTAAACACTGATATCTTGAATACCATGGCTATGTCAAAGTGATTTGGAAGTCCCAACCCATTATTCTTTTAAAAAACATTTTACACTGGATATCTTGAATCCTTGGATATCTGTAAGTTTTTTAAGCTCAAGATAATGAGGTTTCATTGTATCTGAGAACAAAAAAAAAATATGGGTTCCTTTAATATTTTGTTTGCCTCTCTGACTGTCTGCGGTATTAGGTTTGCCTATACCCTTTACAAAAATGTAACAATGTTGACTCAAAGATATAGATTATGATATTCATGTGGACCAAGATCCGAACCATGGAGTTGTTAGGACACAGTCAAAAAAAATTTCCCCCTCACAATGGGCCATGTTGAGAGTTATGTGCATTCCACATAAATGTTTAAACATATATGTTTAAAATAGAAACTCCCTATATACATTGTAAAGTTAAAGATATTAGTTCCTGTATACTTCATAAAAATAACAATAGTGAGGTCAAGATAGAATGGACTATGAACTGTAGAAATTTATAAATGTAAGCATGTGCAAAGAACAAGGTTCACTTTTGCCTTATTTGGCCCTGTGAATTTCTGAAAAACTGAAACTGCAAAGTTTTAGTTAACAATGCATTAAATATCACTTAGATCTTTGGTGACTGCGTATCTATCAAAAATGACGTCATTTTCTGGCTAGTCAATGCATTATGACGTCACAAGTTTCATTTTTTAGATCAGAGAGTGCGCTCATATAATTTTTCTTCACTGAAAGTACTCAATTATACCTGTTTACCTAAAAATTCAAGAATATTGCAATTTCAAAAAGCCAGTTCTCCAAGACTTGGACTTTTAGGGGAATATTTTTAATAGGATATGAAAGCACCAAGTGTCTATTTTATTTTAATGCTTCAAATAGAAAATCAAGTGTTGATCAATTAATTGGTGTATCTACAGGGCCATTTTATGCATAAAGTGAACCGACTTCTTTTAGATACTTTTAAAATGTTCTTGATTCCTTGTGACATGATTTGAATCATATTAAAACCCCATAAGGAAGCTTGCATTTCGTTATAAATAAAATTTGAATTATAGAAAATAAAAATGTCTTACTCATTATGAAACCGATGAGTGATATTATGCTAATCACAAGGCGAATTCTACAGATACGTAGACCGTTGCAGACTGGATACATTTTATATGATATTGATGTTTGGAGAAACTCATAAACCACTCCAAAACCTAACACAAATGTCGCTCCTATAACATGAACAACCTCCACTGAGGTTTCCTGAAATAATACAAAAATTATATCTTAAGTTAAACACATTGTTTTCCTAAATTTCTGAAAGTATATTTTTTTATGCAAATTGTAAAACAAAGTCAAGAAATCTGTATCTTTATTAGTGGATTCAGAATTAATAAAATCAGTATATGGAAAATAAACATATTAAGTTTTTGAGTTTACAATGTGATGGCCCCTCAGCCCCTTTATCTTTTTTTTTTTAACACTGAAGCCAAGAAAAATGGTAGGTGGGAAAAAGTCCAATATTTATCAAAAATAATTCAAAATTAAAATTAATCCGTACCTGGAAATTTGCTACCAAACTTAGTCCTAGAACAGCCAATGATCCCCATACAATGGTGTGTTTATTGTAGCTCATAATGGAGGCATCTCCAAGTTGAACCATGCTTTGAACAAGCTTGTACCGTACATATATAGTGCAGATGGCTAAAGAAAAAAAAAATCATGGAATGTGTAAATCAAAATATTGACATTCTGTTCATGAAAGTTATGATATCTATTAGCATGATTACCATTAAAACATTTATTTAATCCATGCAGACTTGACCAAATCCTGGGAGTCCAAAGCCTTGAACTGGTAAAGTTGAAAGTGGGCATGTGAAAATTGCACACTTACAAGCCCAAAGAGCATGTAAATTCTGTGGCAGAATCAAGTTTAAGAATACTAATAACATTAAATATACTTTAAAGTATCTGATTTTTCATTTTAAAAGAAGGGCAAAAGAAAATTTTAGCGACAGTTTATTCTACCTCAATTCAAAAGGAACTTTTGCAAGGAGCCACAAAAAATGTACAGATTGAAAAAAATGTTAAGGGCAAGACAATAGATTGATAGAAATGGATTTCGGATCATTTCCTTGGCATAAAAAGGCAAAAAAAAAAAAAAAATCTTGGTAAAATTCTAGGCATTTCTATTTGTACGGGCTAGTGAAATTAGTTACAGGTGCCCAAAGGGCATGTACTGAAAAAGAGATTTGGAGAAGACTGTCCATGCGTTTACTTTTTCATTAAAAATTTTCAACAATCAATTGATTAAATACTGCAACAAATTATTTTCTTAAAAATACATTTAAAAACATTCAAGAATACACTGTTTCAAGTTCAAAATAATTTAAGGTGTTTCGCTTCTGACGAAATTGAATTCACCGCGCAACTCGAACTGCCGGAAATTGGTCTGAATGTCGTTATAATAAAGAATTCAATACGGCAGAGAATTAATAGTTTCTACAAATAATTATAATCATCATCCATAGAAAGTAACATAATAACGATTTTTTATGCCAGAAAACAAACATATAATAAGCATTTTACATTTCGCGGATGTGAACCGGATTACGATAATGTAAACAAAAAGCAGACGAGAAGTCAAGGTCTGCGCGGTAACTTTGGTTGAGATGGTGAAACCAAAGTACAGACGCCATGGGTTCGTCTCGAAAAAGCAGAAGGAGAGATATGATAAAGTATCTGCAGGGCAATTGACTCGATGGATTAGGGGAGCTATCCTTACAGACCACAATTACTCCGCCAGTGCAACCCCTGTCAGCGTTGATCACGATCACGGTTTGTACATGTAAAATACGTAATCTAAAAGACTCGTTTTCATATCTGCATCTAAATTACCATGATTACACATAGGTCTATTAAAAATATTAGAAATATTAAAGGGAGGTACATGAATTTGTTGATGTTCATTTTATATACCAGGTCTAATCTAAAGACTTTTTGAACTATGACTACGTGTAGCTATTTAAAAAAAAATTATAATAGTTAAAGATGTGCACCAAAAGAGAAGATATTGAATTTTTCTCAATATTTCATTGAAAAACAACATGACATAACTAAGACATTGAAAACTTGTTTTTATCAAGTATATAATTGAATTTTCAAAGATATATTTTGATAAAAACAAGTTTTCATCTGATCATGCTGATTGACAACAAAGTTTTAAAAATATAATTTTTTTTGGGGGGGGGGGGGTATTTTATTGAAAACCACATGGCCTATTGTAATCAAAGTGCAACATGGAAATTTGAATCATACTTGATAATAATAAATTTAACTATACATGATGTTATATGTGGATTTCAATAAAATATATATATACTAGGCCTAGCTGTTACAAAAAAAAAATTACATTTGCTGAATCAGATGTCTTACCTTACATGACAATACTAATCAAAGATAATTACTGTATTTTATTTTAATACACTGCACGTGATGAAAGATATACTCATTTGACCCACAGGCCTTTAGATCACTTAGAAAAAAAATTGAGGTGTTAAAAAAAAAATAAAGGTATGGAACTCTTTTCATAGGGTACCTACTTTCACCAATAAAATTCTTTTAAATTGAATGCTTTACAAATTTACTTTTTACCCATATCTATCCATATATAAACAATCTTCATTCCTTCAAATTTCATTCCGTAATTCCTTATACTTCTTAAGATATTATGAAATCAATTCCGAAATTGACCTAAATTTTTTTAATTGACATCAGCTTGCCAATGGGCCCAACACTAATTGTTACACGGGAACGACAGGACAAATTTTCTCCAAAGTCTATTCTAAACTCAATGAATATTTGCTCATTTGAATTTGAGATTTACATGATTTTTCTTTAATTGGATCATATGATCTTACTAAGTCACAAACAAAATGTTAGCGGTCTAATTGTTTTGAAAATAGAAATGTATATAATCATGATAATGCATTACGGGAAAAAATTGTTCAACCATATAGCTTCTTTTACATTCATAATCAAAATGGCGGTGTAGTTGTTGATGCAGATTTTAACTTATTAATACAGACTACTTAACCTTACAATCTGGAGTAAGAAATCAACTTTAAAATGTTGAAAGATCTTGCAAATGCTATGCAACTCTTCGCTGCACCTCATACACCGTCTGTTTACATGTGAATGACCAGGGGCCCAAGCAAATGTCGAGTAAAAGAAAGTAGATCATATTTTAGATTGATTTCAGAATATCTTGAGAAATATCGGTATATGGAAAAATATGTTGTATATCGGCACTATGAATTATTTTGAAAACTGGTTCTTGGAATTTAGTAAGTGTATCTAAACAGTCAACTAGTCAGGATGTGTTACAGTAGATAATAAAGAATGTGTAATGGTGATAATTTTTATTCATTATTCATAGAATTGCCAAATTTGAATATACTGGAAAGAGAGGAGGTGGTGGATGGGGAAGAAGTGACTACATCTGAGGATTGGAAGGAGGGGAGGAGAGTAGTAGAACTTGGAGTGTTAGCTGAGGGCTTGCGGGGATGTTGTAAATGTGGCTTACCATTGCAACTTTCACACACTATTTCTGTGTTGACATATGGTTTAGCTTCTTTGTTAAAGGTATGAACTCACCAATTTTTGCACAGTTTGTATAAAAACAACCTTGAAAGGTTTTTCCTTGAATTTTTCTCCATATAAAACAGGCAGTATTCCATATATCCATATTTTTAGTTTTGAAAGATGTTACATTTTTTTCTTTGAAGTAATTTGAAGTAATGCATATTTAAATTCTTTTTTCCCAAGCATTTGATTTCATTAATGGTGAATGAATTTAGAACAGTGACCTGTAATTAGGGATTCATTGATTTTACATTAACATTTCAGGTCTGTTGCAGCAATACAAAGTGTAATCATATTAACCATGTAAAATCGGGGAAAAAACATGGAAGAGTGTGGGATGTAAATACAAAGCTATCAGCAGGTAAGAAGTTTAACGTACACATCCCCTACATCAGTTACATGTATATTTATTATTGTCAAGTCACAAGAGCCTGATTGAGTTTTACCTGTCTATTCCAATATAAGCAAGTTTGTTGTCCCCCTCAACAGCAACTTGGACGCACCTTGAGAAATTGTTGCTGTCTTGGGGGACAATAAACTTGCTTTTGTCCTCATAGCCAGTAAATAGGTATATGTATCTATAAATTGATATAATCAGTGGCGGATTTAAGGGGGGGCACACCCGGCGCGCACCCCCCCTGAAATTGTCAAAGTTAGCATAAAACATAGTTTTGTCGAGGAAATGTTTCTGATGTCTACTTGGTAGACCTCATTTTTACCCTACAAAACCTCTAGACTCCAAGAGCTTCGGGGGGCTTCGCCCCCTTGGCCCCCACCAGGGCTTTGCCTCAAGGCGGCCCCCAGACCCCCTGCCTGAATCTGGCGCCCAACCCGCCAGGGTTCGACACTAACATTTTTCGGCGTTGGTCTAGCCGGACTAGTGTATCTTTAATTTTATTAGTCCACAGGCAATTTTATGAGTCCGTCAAAAATATAATTAAACAATAGAATTTACATTTCAAGGTACTTTTTATACTTTTTTTGTAATAAACAAAGCATGCGTTTACATGAAATGTTTTATACCAATATTTGTTGAAATTGCCTGATCAGGAACTAGGATCGTGTTCCCAATCTCATTATTCTCTATAAATGATTACGACATCCAAATGCCCGACATCTTTCTTTATGAGTCATGATAAATCATAATCCCTAAAATGTTTAATTTCATTCCAATGAGTCCTAAAATTAAGTGCCGAATTGACTCAGAATTACATAACTTTCCGCCAAGATGCAAGAAAGCTAAAAATACATACGGGTTTTCCAGTGAAAGTTGTCGAGAACTTCGGTAATTTTTTCCCCCAGAAAACTTTATTAGTCCATTCGGACTAATACGCCACAACTTTTATTAGTCCAAATGAAAATGTATTAGTCTGAGACTTATTAGTCTGAGACTAACGGACTAACGTTAATGTCGAACCCTGCCCGTCTAACTTCAATTCCTGGATCCGCCCCTGATAATGTTTAATTCAGAATAAAAACTTGATGAGAAGGCAAGCTATTTTTAACTTATTGAAGCCAGAGGCTCATTTCAGCTTTCTGATCTTTTTCCATTTATCTGTCTGTCAACTTTTCAAAATATGCTTTAAAGGAGAGGGAAGTGGGTACTGGTATACTGTTTTACTCTTGTGTTTTACCACACAGTCACACCTTGTTTTGGCAATATGCCATATGATGGAATTCACTTTTATAGAAATCCAATGTCTGCTTCCTATTTATCCATGTGTCTGCCTGTATATTCACAAAAGAACCTATATTCACATCATAGAAAGGGTATAACAAGTTAGAATGGGACTTTTTTTGATTTGTTCTCTAAACCATTTGACTATTCAGATGGAAAAAATTCTCTGTAGAACAGCAAAGCCTTATTACTGTATTAATCATATTGATATTGAATCATCCTAATGTAGATCATTTCAAGTTTTGTTGCCATTACCCCTAGGGGTTTAGTTTGTTAAAAGTATGGGTTCTATTTTTAATTTCTGGTAATAAAGAGAGAAAATAAAGGAGACTAAGATGAGTGTTGTATTTCACAAGCTTCTTGTTTAAAGTGATTAGATTGATTTCTTTTTTACATTTATGAATTTGTATTTACAGCAATTGTACATGTTGGTATTGGTGCAACACAAGTCAACAGTCTCCTTTCTGAGCTGAATATACCACCTGTAAGCCATGCCATGCTGGACAAAAGACAGAAAGAGATAGGCAGAGCTGTTGAAGATATTGCTGCAGAGTCTATGTCTGATGCTTTGCAGAAGGAACTGGAAATGATGAATGAGTGTGTAAACAATATAAATTCAGTTTAAATCTCACTATTTAGCTCAAATGAGCCAAAGGCGCAATAGAGCTTTTCTGATCAGATCAATGGGTGTCTAGCATACATGTGTAGTGGTCATATGGTATAACCTGTGTTGGTTAAGTCACAATTACTAACATGTATGTCACAAACATAACAACCCATTTAATTTTACATATAAGATACATGTATGTACTAATTGCATGCATCTTTGAAGGAAAAATTGTCTTATTTTCTTTACTTATTGATGGAGAATTAAATTATAAGGAATTAACTTCATAGTTATCCAAGTTATAATAGTGTAACCTGCTTTGAAATGAAAGCCTCGCTGTATAGAAAGCCAAAACTGGCACAACCCAGGATATACAGTATAACTTGGGTAGCTATTAAATTCATTCCTAGAATGAATTAAAAAAGGAAAATTTGATTGAAGAAAAAAAATTGAAGAGTGACAGAGACACAGTCTAATCAAAATTAGATGTTAGATCTGCTCGCATAATTGCTACACTAGCATCTAACAACATCCTATAGAGGGTCACTCAGAGTTCAAATTCGGAACAACCCTAGACTTATTTTCTTCAATTGCGTCAACAAATAAACAATGATTTTGCAAGAGACAATTTGATTGGTTGATTAGAATTTGACCTCTGACGTGACCCTCAATGAGATGTTGTTAGATGTTTGTGTAGCGAGTATGCAAGTGGATCTAACAAATAATTTTAATTAGATTGGACAGAGACAGTGACTTCCTAGAGTATTGTGGCCCAAGCCCCAAGAGCCTCGTGTTTTAGTTTTGATCCCCAAATGAAAATCATAGGGAATACCTAATAATAATTGATAGTGATCAAGTTAATAGAATCTGATATACTGATAAATATAAGGTTTAGTCATGTACAGTATAATTTGTGTTGATAAATATGCAGAATGTTATGCACATTAGGGGGTGTTCTAAAGGAGACAGGTTCACAGTTAATAACTGATGTCTGTTATTTAACTATTTTTCAGAGAGATGAACGAAAATGGACTAGTTGTTGCTGTAGATGCTGGATGGCAAAAACGGGGTAGCGGAAAGACATATGATAGTTTATCAGGTAAAAATACTGTAAAAGCACAAATTTTGTTTATTCCGTTAACAAAATTCCAACAAAATTAAATCCCACACGAAATTTTATATGACTATATATTGAATAGGGCTTTAAAAAAAATATGTTTGTTTCCTGTAACATTCCAAAAAAATTAAGGGTCGGTAGGTCGGGATTTTTTTTTTCTTATGAATTGTCAAACATTGTCAAACATCCCTGGACTCAATATACCAGGTGTCATATTTACAGTGGACACCCAACATGGCATCCAAAATGGCTGCCTAGCGGCGGAAAACGATCTTCAGAAAGTTGTAGGGGGAAATTGTTGTTATAATAATGATTACTCTTTATAACTAATCAAACTTAAATGTAAACTAGGTTGACATATTTTATGTCTCAAGTTAAGCTACAAGCTAATTTTCTTTTTTTAATAAATGGAATCAGCTGATTGATCAAACGAAGTTTTGCCATTTGTCAGAAAAAAAATTCACCCGGGGGGTAATTTGAATGGGTCGGTCGGGTTACAGGAAACAAACATATTTTTTTTAGACCTAGGGTTAGTTTTAAAACAACGACGAGATTATTTTTGATGTCAAAACAACAAAATTTTATGCCCACGAAACAGATGCAATAAATTTAGAAAGACACATATCTCAAAGTTCAACTGTCCATATAAATTGTAAAATATTCTTCTAAAGAACAGCCATGAATAGTTATGTTGCTCATGCAGGTAAAGCATATTCAGTTTTGTTCGAAATATGGACCCAAGGTGGGATGATGGAGCCAAAAAAGGATATAATGTTTACACGAGAAAAATCATTAAGAGTCATAATGAGTCAAATCAAAATATTAAAATATTAGGTGATTTTACACAGTTAGCGTATTCGCTAATCGCTCTATGGCACGCAACCAATTTTTAACGACACTTATTAGAAACATTATTTACCAAAGCATTGTCAATACTTAGAACACTAACTTCAAAGAAGTAGGAATTTGGTCCCTATTGCATCCTGCAAACACGTTTTATAGCAACTGTTTACTTTTTTAAAGTTGAACGATTTGCATTAATTATACAGCACCCCTCATGAAAAATAAATATTTGACCTAATTATGCTATAGTGCACTGGACGCACAGGTTCATTGCTGACTAAAGGGGTTAAAGGTTATTACCAAATGCATACATGTAACATCAGTGATCGAATTTGATTTTCCTTGCCAAAGTATTAAGACATACATTTTATTAAGTTAAGAAATGCATGAAAAATGCTTTAATAAAAACAACGAATACATCTATAAGTTATACAGTTTTTCTAATTTGTAATTTTTCAGGTCATTGTTCCATGGTTGGTCCTCTCTCCGACAAAGTATTGTCATACTCTCTGAGGTCTAAGAATTGCAGAGTATGCAGTGTAGCTGAATCAACCAACAAGAATCCAGCAGCCCATGAGTGCTCAAAGAATTGGGAGGGTAGTTCAAAGGCCATGGAGGCAGATATGGTTATTGAGATGGTCCAAGATCTACAGAAAAGTAAAGGAATAACCATTGATGGAATCATTGGAGATGAGGACTCTACCACTATTGCAAGACTGAAAGCTAATGTCAATGCTGATATTAAGAAGTTGTCTGATAAAAATCATCTAAAGAAACTGTTTACAAACTCTTTGTTTACCTTGAAGAAAAAACATTCATCTCTAACTTTGTCTGTGATAAAGTACATTCAGAAATGCTTCAGTTACTCCATAGCACAGGGAAAAGGAAATGCTTCTCAAATCAAAGAAGACCTTTCATCAATTCCATTACACATATTTGGAGATCACCAACACTGCTCCTCAAGGTGGTGCAACTTCATTAACAACCCTAACCTGAGGTACAAGTCACTTCCACATGGAAAACCCCTGAAAGATAGGTTCCTTCAGGATGATCTGAAAGAAGTCTTCAGTTCATATGCAAGTCATTCTGATCGTCTTTCATGCTTAGGAAGCACACAGTCCAATGAGAGTTTTCACAGAATGGTGTCTGCAAAAGCCCCAAAGACCCATCATTACAGCTCTTCTTCAAGCCTCAGATATAGAGTTGCTGCATGTGTAGCCCAGAAAAATGTTGGACACAGATATCTTGTAAAGGTTTGTAAATTTTTATTTTTTCATGCTTATTGTGTCATATCTGAGTTGAACCACTCAAGTTATCTCTTACATTTGAAAATTCTGCAAATTTTAATCAAAAGCAGATTGTATTGTATATGTATGTACATTGTAGTTGTACATAATAGATTCTTTTATCCTTATTAAAGGTTAACAAGAAATTGGGCCTCTCTCCTGGCTACTATACTCGACGACAGTGCATTCTGAGGGATTTGCAAAGAAAGCGACAGAAGGCCATTTCAGTGACACAGAAATTTAAAAGGAGAAGGAGAGAATTGAAAGCCAGGAAGTACGTACTAGTATACTTTGATTGTCATTTGTCAGGTGTAAAAAACCTTTTGTCAACCTCAAAAATGAAAATAAACCAAGAACAAGTGAATGATGATAAGTATGAATTTAAGTGGGAATTAATATCTTGCATGTTACTAAGATTTGTTTTCTGAATCACCAAAGATTTACGGTATGCTTGTTATAAATAGCATGGTTTGATAAATATTTTTTTCAAAGAAGGGAGGGCATATTGCTTTGCTGCAATCTTAAAATAAAAATTTTACCTACCTACATACCCAGTTTTTTAGCTCACCTTAGCGGAAAGCTCAAGTGAGCTTTACTGATAAAAATGTATCTGTTGTCATTAACTTTTCACATTTCCATCTTCCTCTCAAGAACAACTAGGCCAATTTCAACCAAACTTGCTACAAAGTTAGTATCCACTGGGCCAGGTAAGATGAAACTCATATGGAATCATCTTCAGGTAGTGTAGATTCAAATTTGTTCAAATCTTGACCCTGGGGGATAGGGTGGGACCACATAGCCAATCAAAGTTTTACACAGGAATATATAGAGAATTTGAAATCTTTAAAAATCTTCTCAAGGACTGCAAAGCCATGATAAGTGATATTGAAATGAAATCATCCTCAGGTAGTGTAGATTCTAGATTGTTTAAATCATGACCCCCAGGGATAGGGTGGGGCCACAATTGCATTTTACAGTACAATATATTTTTTAAAAAATTCTCAAGAATAGCAAAGCTATGATTGGTGATATTAATATGGAAGCATCCTCAGGTAAAGTAGAATTAATTTTTTTTTTCAAATCATACATGGTGGATCAAAGTTTTACATAGGAAAATAAAGGGAAAAAATCCCCCCCCCCCCCCCCCCCCCCCCGAAAAAAAAGAGAAGCTATGTTTAGTCATATGGAAATGTAAACATCCTCATGTATTGAAGATTTAAATTTGTTTAAATCCTGATCCTTTGTGGTAGGGAGGGAAACAGTGGGGAATCAAATTCAAATTATTACTAAGTAATATATACGAACAAAATGTTAAAAAAGTTATATGCTGTATTGATATGGAGGCATTCTTAAGTAGTGATAAAATTTAAGCCCCCCCTTCAGTAAATTACATGTACCATAACTTTTCTATTCTGGTCTACTTTGTGCTCTTTCCTTGCCGATGTGCTCAGGATTTTCATTTATTTACAACTCCTAATTTATTAGCTGTACATTAGGTGATTGTTTATTTTGCTAGGCCTTTTGTAAGACCTCAGTTTAGAATCATTTGTTTTACAGTATACATCTTCTTTACAGAATTCAAAGTATTTCTACAAAAGAAACAAGGGAAGGCATCAGTTATTTAACAGGATGTGATCTCCAGCAGGCCTCTGACATCGTTGAAATTCCAGCTCCAAAAACAATTCCAAAGTATGATCATCTCCCTTCAAGTCAGCTGTTAAATGCTGAAGAGATCTATTTTGATTTGGAAACTACTGGACTCGGTAAGAACCTAGATTTAAATGTTAAGTCAATGCTGATGGTTATGGCCCTCTTCCGGTATTTCTTTTGTATGCATTTTGAAGGAATAATACTAAAGTTATCATAGAAAACGAATAGAAATGGAGACTCTTGCATAATTCCGGTATTGGTACAAGTAGTTGAGCATGTTTTATATCTTTCAAAACTTTACCCTTCCTTCTGAGGACACTGATTAAAAAGAAATTGCATATTCTGAAAGAATTCAAGCATCTTTGAAGGAGTTAAGTCTTGGGGAAGAGGGTTACTATTATTATAATGTTTCAAAATTTTTTAAATCATGCATACTGTAAACGGATTACATTTGGCTGTGTATTCTAATAGCGGATTTGGCGAAACGCAGCAACCGCTAAATCAAGTACAACGCTAAATGTCTTGCACATATACACATAAAGAAGAAAATGAAGAAATGCGCTAAATCAAATCTACGCTTACTTATTCAAAAGTCAATTTCTGCCAAATATCATACATGCTAAATATAATACATTTACAATATATCAATTTTTGTATGTATTTTTTTTAATGCTTTTAATTTTAAAAACTTGAATTTACTTAAGGAATGAATTAAATAGCAACCCAAATTATACTGTATTACCTGGGTTGGGGCAGTTTACGCTTTCTAAACCTCAAAGTGGTTTATAAAAAAGCGTAAACTGCTCCAACCCAGGTTGTAGCAGTATAATTTGGGTTGCCATTTAATTCACTCCTTATGATTTAATTTTCAATCATCAAGAATATAAAACAAGACAAATTTTCTCTTTATAACGCCTTCAAATAGTTCATATTTTAAACGTAACGTCAAGCGGATTGATACAATTTGATGTAAGTCATTGTGACGTAAGCAAACCAGATTATACAATTTAGATTAATTTTTTATCCAATCAAATGATGCGTTACAATCAAAATTAAATTATTTGTTTTTTATTTTTAGCAAGGGATTCTCATATTGTGCAGTTGTCTGCAGTTAGAAATGATGAGGTTTTCAACAAATACATCATTCCAGAAAAACCAATGTCCTCAAAAGCTACAGAAATTACTGGAATAAAAGTAGTCAACAATAAAATGTACCACAATGATGAGGAAGTTGAGACAGTCAGCATTAAGGATGCACTGATCCAGTTTATCGACTTCATGAAGAAATCGGAGTCAGATGCTGTTCTAGTTGGACACAACTCCAAAGTGTTTGACCTTCCTGTGCTGTTCAACATTTTGAGTAAATTAAACATTTTGGAGGCATTCTCATCTGCAGTCATTGGTTTCATTGATACCTTACCTCTTTTCAAAATTTCGCATCCAAACCTTTCATCATACTCACAGTTACACCTCTTCGAAGAAATTCTACAAGACAAATACAGTGCGCATGACTCATTACAGGATGTCTTAGCCTTGAAGAGATTGTTGGACCATACAGGACCTTCCCCTGAAGTCAAACTTGCTGCATCTTTCACTTCAAACTCTGCCTTTGCCATATTCCATCACAAGAGCACAACAAAAAGTCTAATGAGCACACTAAAGCCTTTATTGGACCAAAAGGTGATTTCGAATGGAATGGGAAATAAGATTGCCAGCAGTGGACTCTCCTTATCACACTTACAACTGGCTTATCGCAGAAATGGTAGGGAGGGAGTACAGGATGTGCTGACAGAGATAACAGATAACAGTGTGCGTGTGACAAAATCTAGAAAAATCATTGATTCTGTTGCAGATTTTCTCAGATCTGAGCAGTAACGCAGTTGTATGATGTTCTTTGTATGTAACTATGTTATTGTTTGTTTGGTTGTTTGTTTGTTTGTTTGTTTGATTTCTGTGAGCCAGTGCTCACTAGTAATACCCTCACTCTGATGTGAATATGGACAGACAGGAATAAACAAAGTTAATTGACAATGGATTCGTACAAAAATGAATCCAACCATATTTCATGTCTAAAAAATTTCAAGCATCTGTGATGAGTAGTTGTGGAGAAAACTGTGACAAAAATTTATTATTTGTGGTACAGACAGATGCACAGATAAACAGGAAGTTGACATCAGATTCGTCTAAAACCAATTCCAACGGTGATGAGTAGTTGTGGAGAAAACTGTGACAAAAATTTGTTATTTGTGGTACAGACAGATGCACAGATAAACAGGAAGTTGACATCAGATTCGTCTAAAACCAATTCCAACGGTGATGAGTAGTTGTGGAGAAAACTGTGACAAAAATTTATTATTTGTGGTACAGACAGATGCACAGATAAACAGGAAGTTGACATCAGATTCGTCTAAAACCAATTCCAACTGTGATGAGTAGTTGTGGAGAAAACTGTGACAAAAATTTGTTATTTGTGGTACAGACAGATGCACAGATAAACAGGAAGTTGACATCAGATTCGTCTAAAACCAATTCCAACGGTGATGAGTAGTTGTGGAGAAAACTGTGACAAAAATTTATTATTTGTGGTACAGACAGATGCACAGATAAACAGGAAGTTGACATCAGATTCGTCTAAAACCAATTCCAACTGTGATGAGTAGTTGTGGAGAAAACTGTGACAAAAATTTGTTATTTGTGGTACAGACAGATGCACAGATAAACAGGAAGTTGACATCAGATTCGTCTAAAACCAATTCCAACTGTGATGAGTAGTTGTGGAGAAAACTGTGACAAAAATTTATTATTTGTGGTACAGACAGATGCACAGATAAACAGGAAGTTGACATCAGATTCGTCTAAAACCAATTCCAACTGTGATGAGTAGTTGTGGAGAAAACTGTGACAAAAATTTACTATTTGTGGTACAGACAGATGCACAGATAATCAGGAATTTGACATCAGATTCGTCTAAAACCAATTCCAAATGTGATGAGTAGTTTTGGAGAAAACTGTGACAAAAATTTACTATTTGTGGTACAGACAAATGCACAGATAATCAGGAAGTTGACATCAGATTCGTCTAAAACCAATTCCAACATACGGCATGGCTAAAGAAAGAGTGTGCTAAAACTTAAAGCATCTGTGATGAGCAATTGAGCATGATGAGTGATTGCTGAGAAAAATTGGACAAAAATTTGTTACTGACAGAAAGACACACAAGTGTAGAAAGAAAAACAGTATAAACCCTGTGCTTCAGAGCAGGGGTATAATTATGCCATGAACTATTGTTTTTTTCAATGTTTATTGTTATAGGTAGTTTGTAGTTGAACAAAACATTTTCTTTCCATTCAAAATAAATCCTTATTTAGAAATTGACAACAATTTATTTTCATTACCCATATTTTGAGCATACATGAAAAATTAAAAGGTGTTCATTGATATTTATTGAAGAAGACTATGTGCATATTAAATTGAAACATGCACAAATGAATATGAAAAGACATTCTGTAAATGTTTAATATTGTGTATGACCTATACTTGGCAGTAATCTATTTTTCAACAATCGGGCTAGGTTTGATTTCTAGCAAAATTTTTATTGTGTACTTATAAATACGCAGGTCATAAAGTTAGCGATGTTCTTGAAATAGCAACAGCAGTTTTCTGTCAAAGGCACAAAAAATCTAATGTTTGCAGTATATAAAAATGTTTTATGTTACTTGTAAAGGTAACAATTTGATAGATCTCTATCACAAGGAAACATGGATCTGAATAAAGTTAAATAGTTGATCATTTTTCATCTTGAATAAAGAACATTTTGTTTGATACAATGAAATCAAGAGAGATTTACATTGCATGACGCAAATTAAACTAGCTGTTATTGGTACAACTAGTAGTTCAAAACATTCATTTAGTCTTTTTTTTTTATTCCCTTCATTTTCAATAACTGGAATTTTGCTGTGAAACGTTTATAGTGAAATGATTACTATGTGGTGGTTTTTAGCTCACCTGACACGGAAGCCCGAGTGAGCTTTTCTGATCAAAGATTGTCTGGCAATCGGTCTTTTGTCTGGGGTGTGTAAAGTTTGATATATTTTATTTCTTTGAAAGACCAACTGGCCCAATTTCAATTAAGGGGATTTAACTTTGTTCATAGGAAGTGTCTCGCCCTCTTGAAGTGGGGGGTAATTAAGAATTTTGGTGGCATTATTCAAAAATCTTCTGAAGAACCACTGAAGAAAAGATGACATTTACGTGAAATTTAGCTTCATTACATACCCTATATTCAATAATTCCTGGGGGAAGGATGGGCCACAAGTGGAGCAAAGTATGCATAGAAAAATATTTGAAATGTCTGTAAAATTCTCTCAACTCAGAACAGGCAAAGCCATGATTAGTCAAACTATTAAAGAATTATCCTCAGGTAATGTGAGTGGGCATGAAAATAGATATTAACCCCCACCCCCCCACCCACCCTCCCCTCTTTCCCCTAAGTCTTAAATAGTCCCCCAAAAAATGAAATGTCCCTTTTCTTTTAAAGAAAAAGATTGAGTTTCAATACACTTATTCATTTAGGCAAATAGAAAATCCCCCAAAATCATGGAAGAGGCAAACAGAATCAATCCGAATTTCCTCTGGTCAAAATTTGAGAAAAATGGGTCAGAGGAAATTCAAGTTAAAATATCTTTAAAAGTAACTCATATTGATATACAATTTTTTACACCATTTGAAAGCACTTCATCTAAGTAACAAATATATAGAAAAAAAAATACTTGTTAATTATTTCTAATTTATTTTCCAAGCTCATTTTATAAGCCCTGTGAAAGGGAAAAAAGGCATTTTTTTGTATGAGGGTGTGTGCTTTTTGATAAGAATTAAATTTTATCTTCTATCAATTATCATTATTATTTTATCAATATTTATATTCCCTATGACTACTTTTAAAAGATAGCAAAAGGTTGGAATGATTTGAAAACATTTCATAGTTTAAAATAAATATTAAATATGTTGGACACAAATTTGGTCTTTTTCTTTACTAAAATGAGAGAATTACCTCCCTTTGTCAGGAACACCTATAGCTTGAAAATTAAATCATATTCATATGCATTTTTCTGGCTTAAAATAATTTATTATGTTTATTCTTACAATTAAAAAAGAAGAAAATCATTTTCAATTATTTTTAATGTCAGAAGCCAAACACCTTAAAAACATACACGAACATAAAATTAATGCTTTTTGTTGCATTTTACCTATAGCGGATGATATATTCAAAAGTTGACCAAATACACAACTTTCAGGGATTCTTGTTCCCGTGTCACTGAAATAAAGAAGGTTTAAATTTGCAATAAGCAGGACATCCCACGTTTACATCCTGTATAAATTAACATGATAAATATTGCAGGTTCACAATACTGTTAAGTTGAAGAACACTACCTTATATATGGAAAGTAAGGATTGACATCTTTTCGAAGAACAGCAAACACATAAGCTGTAATGAAAGCTACAATAGGCACAATGACTGTTATCAAGGGGAGAAATGCTAGCCCTTGACACACCATGGCTATCCACAACCTGTCCCACCAGTAGCTGATCGTTAATGAACTGTGACCTCAAAACTTTCCTATGTTGGCACTGGCGGCAATCATTCACTTCACTACGACCAACATAAATGATATTTTTGAGAAATGCACATACTGTTGTGGACTCTTAGATAAATCTCGAATATTACGTTGTAATAAATCACGAGATCAAAATGAAAGTAGACCTTGTCTTTCATAGGAGCATCTTGAGCCCGATGAAAAATCTTGAACATTAATTTTCTGTAAAAATTTAATAAAAATACTAAATCAAATGCTTGAGAATGTGTAAGATAAAACAAAAAGAAAAATATGTCAGTTCACCTATTCTAGCAATAATATGTATGAGAAATGAAAACTCTCGAAAGTATATTTTACCTTCGAATAAAATTGATTTAAATGCACCCCCTTTTTTAAATAAACTGATGGGGAAACATTAGTTTAGGTATAATATTAATGATCACAATGGAATAAAATTAGTCAACAAACGATGGTATGAGTACTTTTTATAACTAATACCCTGAAAAAGCCTTTCTAACTGATCAACCTATCAGGGCGTTACTGTCCAGAGGTGAGTTTTGTTCAAACACTGCTGGTGTCGGCGAACGAGACAAAGGCCTGCGAGGACAACATCACAGAATCATTCGTTCTTAGCAGCGAAAAGGACAATATGAGAAGGATTCTTTGACAAGGAAGAACACCAGAAAGTTTAATGTGAGTATTTATTTGATAAAGTGCAGTAGTAGCCATTCATGTTACAGTAATGTATTTATGATCGATTAAAAAAAACATTAAGTATTTCAGAAAGAAGACTGATTTACAGTAACTTTTATCTTTTTGTCAGTAGTTACTTCATTTTACTATTGAGCGAATCTGAGTAGACTTCATATGTTCATGCATTGTCATGGATTAATATAAAAGTAAATCCCCTATTCATCTCTTTATGTTTCGTCAGTATACCTGAAGTTACAGAGACAGTTTTAACTATCTGTACACTATGACTTGATATGGCACACTTGAAGAAATTTCTGTTATTACACTATTTGGACAGTGGTACATTTTATTTAATTTGTCAACCTAAAAAATGTGAGGATCTAAAGTGTTAGAAAAAAAATCTCCCATATATAATATTCTTTTTGTAAATTCTTCTACTTGCTGATTTCTTAAACGGTTTCTTAAATTTTCCAGGAATATTACGCATATTCCTTATTTGATTAACTGTGCACATATACAATTAATGAGTTAATTCATTGGGGCATAAAAATGCATGTTAGCTGTAATTTGTAATCAGAATTATATCATTTCCAATTAATCATCTTCTATATATTTAGTTTTACTACGATTGAATCCAGAGTAACTGGTTTATAGAAATATTTATTTGCTAAATATAAAGTTAACCCTAACAAGCAAATTCAAAGAATTGTGGTCCCCCGCTTTCGGTTTCTTTGTCGGTGAGATGTTATTTTGTATGACAAATTGTGTGTAATATGAACATCCTATCATATGTCATTTATTTAGAAAGTTACATAGAAGTTGATTTTTTTTGAAGGATGAAAACCCAAATCCTGACCGTTAAAAAGTTATGGCCAAAGTAAAAAGTTTTTTAAAAATAAGTCAACTCCAAGGTCAAGATCAAAGGGTCAAAATTGTTGATATTCAATGTAAGATTTTCTCACAAGGGGTACATATGTGAAGTATAAAAGCCCTAGTCCTAACTGTTCAAAAGTTAAGGTCAAGGTTAAAGTTTTTTCATAATTACGTAAATCTTTAAGGTCAAGGTCAAAAGGTCAAAGTTGTTGATATCCAATGAAAGGACTTGCTACAAAGAATACATATATAAAATATAAAAGTCATAGTATCTACCGTTCAAAATATGTGACCAAAGTTAAAGTTTTTATTTAAAAAGTAGTTAAAACTCCAATGTCAATGTCAAAGGGTAAAAGTTGTTGGTATCCAACAATGAAAGGTCCTCTAAAAAGAATTACATTTGTGAAGTACGAATGCCCTAACCCTCACCGTTCAAAAGTTATGGTCAAGGTTAAAGTTTTTTCATAAGTACGTAAATCTCCAAGATCAAGGTCAAAATGTCAAGATTGTTGGTATCCAATGAAATGTCTTGCCACAAGGAATACATATGTGAAATATAAAAGTCCTAGTATCTACTGTTAAAAAGTTGTGTTCAAGGTTAAAGTTTTTCAAAAGTAGTTAAAACTCCAAGGTCAAGGTCAAAGGGAGGTCAAGGTTTTTGGTATCCAATGAAATGTCTTGCCACAAGGAATACATATGTGAAATATAAAAGTCCTAGTATCTACTGTTAAAAAGTTGTTACAAAGTAAAATTTTTTTAAAAGTAGTTAAAACTCTAGGGTCAAGGTCAAAGGGTCAAAGTTCTTGGTATCCAATGAAGGGTCTTTTCAAAAGGATCACATATGTGAAGTACGAAAGCCTTAGTCCTCACCGTTCAAAAGTTATGGTCAAGGTTAAAGTTTTTTCATAAGTACATAAATCTCCAAGATCAAGGTCAAAAGGTCAAGGTTGTTGTTATCCAATGAAAGGTCTTGCCACAAACAATATATGTGAGAAATATGTAAGTCATTGTACCGACTATTCAAAAGTTATGGCCAAAGTAAAAGTTTGTTGGAGCTTTTGTGTAAAAGTGGGTAAAAAGGTCAAGGTCAAAAGGTCAAATTTGGTGGTACCCAAAGAAAGGTCTTGTCACAAGGAATACACATGTGAAATATGAAAGTCATAGCTCCACTAAATCAAAAGTTATGGGCAAGGTTAAAGTTTTTGTGACGGACAGACTGACAGACTGACAGACGGACAGACTGACAGACTGACGGACAGACGAATGAGATTTAATGTCCCCTCGCTTTCGCGAAAGCGGGGGACAAAAATAGAAGAATATGCATGTATAGTGAAGAAACATTTTAAAATAATGTGAATAGTTTTGAATACAGCGTAATGTAAATAATAAGAGTGTAAATAAATAGGTTCTCATAGATTTATTTAAATACTATATATTACAAGTATGTAGAATGCTCTCGTGTTTTGGATTAAAAAAAAAACACTTAGATGAAGATATTTTCAAAGGTTTAATTAAGCTACATACATGTATTAAAAGAGCTATCAAAAGGTCCATGGGACTTACGTGTCTTCTGAGTATCATGCAGGCATCAGGGGCTTGCCCCTTACCCCCCCCCCCCCCCCCCCAATTTTTTTTTTTTAGAATTGAAAATATTTATTGAAAGGCCAGACGCTCCCTCCCCCTACACACAATTTATATAAGGGTGATAATTATAGTGGTGTATGGATCAAGTTTGGATAATTTCCTTTTTATTAACTCGATCGTCATTTTTTTTTTAAAAATGTAATTTTCTTTTCTCCGTCCCCCTCAAAAACAAGACTACCTCCCTTTCAGGAGTCTCTCTGGCTGGATCCGCCCCTGTTAGAACTGTCATTGATATGTCGTTGGGCTTCATTAATCCTACAATTCTGTCTAAGGCACGAAACCGACAAGGATGCTAAAGTTCACCCTTTGACAATTAATTAAGCTATAAACAGACACAGGTAAAATACTATAGGAAGCTCTTTATGTAACAACTATTTATTTTTTTCTCCCTGCGAGCCATAACGTAGGTAAAGAAAACGGAACTTGTAAGAATCAAATTTACTTTTAAAATGGGAACATGTGGGCGATTGTTTATTTATTTCAAGGATATAGGGAGTAAAAAAAATGTAGGTGACATTAATTAACTGATTTGGAGGAAGATGGGGATAAACCAGAAATAAAGAAACGGGAAGGGGGATGGGACTATTTTTTTCCTTTAATGTCTAGAAATAAAGATATAACCTTCAATCTACAGCAGCATTATTTCAACCGTTACTGCACGAGAGTAGTATCTCCAGTTCAGTACGAAATCAGGACAATGTATAAAATATTGTTTATATATAATAACAGTTACTGCCCTTCTCAATACAAAAACAATTCTTGATATTTCGTGTGAATCTCTGACATTTGTTGTTTTGTTGTTCTTTATGTGACCTATTGACCCAAACTTTGTCCTGTCCTATTTTTATCTCTTCGAAAGTAATATATTTTAGTACTGGTACAGACGATATATGAAAATATTAAGTTTAAACTATATATATTCTATTTGAAAATTCCAAGCACACATAACAAATATTATGTAGAGATCAGTCAGGACCAGATCGATCCAACAAGTTTGAAAACTTGTGTAGGCGCAGATCCAGGATTTTTTCAGCAGGGTGGGGTGGGGGTGCACTCAAGTAAAGAAAAAAGACTTCCCTGAAGAAAAAAAAAATTATTTCGTTGGGGGAGGGGGGGGGCACCCACCCCCGAGCCTCCCCTAGATCCGACTCCTAGCCCTTACATTTTGCTGAAGTAACAGATCATTACAGAATATTACGGTTAAAACAATTTATAATACAAGAAAATAGAGTTTGAATTAACATACATATGTTAAAAGGAGACAACATAAATAGTTTAATCTACAATGGACTGGTTTCCAAGATAAGTCGATATAACTTTGAACCTCGCATGAAAATTAATACAATTTTTTTATCAAGAAGAAAAGTGAAAAATTGTTAAATGTCTCGTAGCCCATGGGACTTGTAACTACGTTTTTGCACTTAAAGACACACACTTATAACAGTGAACAGTATTATGTGAATGAAACAACTTTCTCAATTTAACATCACAAATCAAACAAAAGAAAAAGTGTTTGTATGTGACATTAAAATGACAATGTTGTTCTTAATGTTTTAACTGCATCATCCATTGTCGACATTCTGTAAAGAGTAGTACACTATTACGGAAATTCCTGTGATAGAATTTTTTTCTTTTCTATGTTTTATATCTTTGACAATTGCTGTGTATTAATTAATTATAATACCATTTACGTATTAATTCTCATGTGTTCTCTGTTCGGTTTTACTTTCCCTCGAAATTCTTAAATTTGAAATTAAACTTAAAATCAATTTTATCAATTCTCTCTACACGAAATATGTCCTAGTTGTGAGTGATTAAAAAAAATCGCAATCACACATAACACAGAGTATTTTTTGTTGTTGTTGAAATTATTGGAATTACTTCTTCATTGGAATTTTTAAAATATTTCGAACAAACTATTATTACCCACCATTTTTAGAATTTGACCATTATTGACACGATTCAGGTCTTTTCTTTGATCACCCTCCTTTTCCAGGTTAAAAAATCGGTAAAAGGGAATGAATAGTAAATATTTACATACATATATTGACTCATACATGTAAACAACATTGTTTATCATAAATAATAATATTGTCAATGAGCGTTTCATTTTTTACTGCAATAAATGTTTCACCATACGATTTGTGTACTAGGCGTAAATAACTGATCGGAGTGAACATGAAAAAAAAAATCATTTGATCCCTTCGTTTCCTTGACCGCAACCTGACTCATAATTGTTTTATCTGAACCAAAACCAGACTGAATCGGTTAAAAATAAAATATTCATGTTAAATTAAAAAAATCCCCATGGTTTTTATCCAACTTATATGACCTCTTTGTTTTTTGATTCTTGTATTTGATTTTCCCTATAAATCAAGTTGAGAAATTGCGTCGTGTAGGTATGTGCTGCTATACACAGAGATGACGACATGTAGTTTTCCCCCGTTGGCATATGATCGTTACAACTAGTATAAAACTCAGTGACCACATACAAGTGCATTATTTATCTGATTTTGTTCTTACAGAACCTCGCTTTCATGCATGGTGGCCAGTTAGAAGCGTGACAGGTCATAGGAAAATAAAGGGACCAAAAGTACAGTCAACATGACTTCCCTGGAATTCCGACATCGCTATGTCGAAATCGAAGAAAATACCAACCCGATAATGAAGAGAGTGAAACAAAATGTGTATTGTTCCCGGAGACGAGTTTGGAAGTTCTGGGCTTACCATTTGCCCATTCTGAAATTTATCAAGTACTACAAACTCAAAGAATATTTGTTCTCAGATATCCTGACTGGATTAACCATAGGCATTATGCATATCCCACAGGCACTGGCATTTGGAATGCTGACCTCGGTCAAGGTCGAGAACGGACTCTATACCTCACTTTGGCCAATTTTATTTTACGTCATTTTCGGAACATCGCCTCATATTTCCATGGGAACAAGTGCCGTTATATGCATGGTAACCGCTGGTGTTGTCGATATACAAGCGGAAACGTTCAAATCTGAAAACCAACATTTATTTAATGCTCGCCTTACAAATACAAATGGAACAGTGCAGAATGCAACCACCATAGAATGGACAGACATCCCAGAGTTTATGGACTTTAAAGAGAATGTAGCCATGAATATTGCCCTGTTCTCGGGCCTCATGCTTATTTTCATGGGAATGTTCCGATTGGGATTTATCACGTTCTACTTCTCGGTTTCATTCTTTAGCGGATTCACTTCCGGTGCAGCAGTCCATATCGCCACCAGCCAGATGCCTGCTCTGTTGGGAATCGCAGTCAAACGATACTCAGGACCTTTCAAAATAATTTATACCTACCGAGATATATTTCTTGCCATAACAACGGTCAAAGTCGCTACAATAATCATATCCATCATTTGCATCGTCGTGTTGTTTGCAGTTAAGGATCTTATCAACGAGCGTTTTAAGCACAAACTTAAGGCACCCATTCCCATTGAGCTTATCGTCGTCATCATTGCAACTATTGTTTCCTACGTTTCAAGGTTCGATGAGAATTATGAAGTGGATGTTGTCGGGACTATTCCAAACACCATACCCGCCCCTGTATTACCTGACATGAGAGGTGTTCCCGTTTACCTTGGAGATTGCTTCGTTGTTGCGATCTTGATTTTTTCCAACACCATTGCCATGGCAAAAATATGTGCAAAGAAACACAACTACGAGTTGAATGACAATCAGGAAATTTATGCGTATGGCATTTGTAATTTTGCCAGCTCATTTTTCAAGTGCTTCCCGTCCGCCGTAGCTCCACCTCGGTCAATGATTCTCTCCTCCATGAATGCCAGGACGACGATTAGCGGTTTGTTTTCAGCTCTTCTTATGCTTCTTGTTATCTTGGCAATCAGCGAATTATTCTTTTTCCTGCCTAAAGCTACCTTAGCATCCATTATTTTGGTGGCGTTAAAAGGACTCTTCGTGCAAATGACGGATGCCCGTAGATATTGGAAAATCAACAAGTATGATTTCATCATTTGGCTTTGTACAATAACATCAGTTGTTTTCATCGACATCGACTTTGGTCTTGGTATTGGATTGGCGATATCACTGCTCACAGTGGTATTCCAAAGTCAGCGTGCGTCAGCCTTGAGATTGATGAAATACAATCCAAATTTTAAAACCGTAAGAAGCATTAAGAAGTTGTACTCCTTGAGTCCTGTTAAAATATTTGTGTATAAGTCCAATATCTTCTTTGCCAATGCTGAAATGTTCCGGAGCAAGTTATACTCTGCGACCGTCAATCCAAGAAAGTTTTTGAAATTGTTGAACAAGAAAAAGGAAATCAACGCAAATAAAAAAGAAACTGAAAAGGTCACTCAAAATGGAGGAGCTAGTCCAACGAAAAAGATATCAACTATTTCTACAGAAAGTGGAATAAGCAATACTCAACAACCCATTTTTACTTCCTTGTCCTTGGACGATTCTATTTCAAGTCCTAATATTGGATCTGTCGCCAGTCAACTAGACAATGCAGACGCTAATCCCATACATTTGGAATCTGCTTACGTTGGCTTGCCTCCTCCGTCCCATGTGCTAAGTTTAGAGTCTATTGACACAATTCAAAGCTTAGACACCATCGACTCTGGATTTGATGAAATTTCTCACCCAAAACAACTCTTGTCTGAGTACATGAGAACTCGAGTCATTATTCTCGAAATGGCATGCGTGAACTACATCGACGCTTCCGGTTCCAATCTCATCGTGCATATCCACAAGGAGTATTCGAAACTAGGTATTCGGCTTCTTCTTGCATCAATATCTGAAGATGTGTCTAAAACATTACATCACTCGGGGGCCTTCGATGCCATCCCGAAAGATGATATATTTCCAGATCTCACGGACGCCATTTTATCTGCGGATGAATACGTCCTTCAATCTTCCAAAGAAGACATAAGTCCTGGTTTACAGACTGTAAGCTTCACAGACGAGGAGGCGGCGGAGGAATCTTATGTGGTGCGTCTGTAGGGTCACGTGGTCAAGTATTGTATATAAAACTTTGAAATCTATTTATTTATTTACAAGTGACTTTTTTTTTTACACGAAGGATGTCTCGATCTTGTTTCATTAAATTTGATTTCGCAGCAAACTACTGAAATATATTTCACTGTTATATAATAGCACGTTGATCTTTTTACGTTCATATTATTTATATTCAGCACCGTTTTTGCTATAGTTTTTTTTAAATATACCATTTGTGCTAAATGCTGTGTACTGTGTACATGTCCTATATGTTCTATTTGTACAGATATAATTGTTATTAAAGTATGTGAGTTTAAAAGTTGTTCATAAAATTTTCTTTGCAATAATTTAAAAAAATCATATAGAAAATTGTCAAAATATTTTATGCATAATCAATTTACATTATTTTATATACAAGAGTCTAGCACTCTCGATTGAAGAAAACATTTTCTTATCTGAAATAAAAAAAAAAAAAATAATGAATACTGGTATTTCAATCCCACAGAGGGTTGAAATTTCTCCAATGAAAGTTAAACTTCAAAGGTCAAGGTCAGAGTTGTTGGGTTGATACCCAATGGAAGGTCTTGTCACAAAAAAATATATACATCTGTGAAATTTGAGCGACTTATTGCTAACTGTTCAAAATTTATGGCCAACGTTAAAGTTTTTGAATAGTGGGTCAAAGTCTAAGGTCAAGGTCAAAATTATTTATACCCGCTGAAAAGGCTACGCCACATTGAATACAAATGTGAAGTATGAAAGCCATAGCACCGTCTGTTCAAATTAAAGTTACGGGCAAGGTTAAAGTATGGTATTTTTATGTAAAATTGGGCCAAACTCCAAGGTCAAGAGGTCAAATTTGGTGATACCCAAAGAAAGGTCTAATATAATGAATAGTTCACTTGTGAAAAATGAAAGCCATAGTCCCATCCAGTTATTAGAAACATGGGGGGGGGGGGGGCAAGGTTCGAACTCCAGTACCAAAAATTTTCTTCCAAACACCAACGCTTTTACCAATTTTAACCTATACTAAGACGTATCTGTGGAAAGTGAAAGTGGGGGCATACTACCAGACTTGCTACGAAGATATGTTCAGTATCTATACTAAGTATATATTTGGAAAAAAAGTTTTTGGTACCCCCCCCCCCGCCCCCCGGTTCCGACGCCTATGAGAAAGGTTACAGACAGCTAGACGGACATGGCAAAAACTATATACCCACGAATCTTCGATAACGGGGGCATAAACATATTTAGAATATAAGAATTTAAGAAAATAGTCTCTTTAATATATACTTTAGAAAATATTGTTGCTTAATCAATATTCTCCTCTTCTAAAGCAACACCCCACGAGCTTCTTGCATGCAAACTTATTTCCCAAGATACCCTTTGTGGATTGATACAGGTATAAGGTTAGAGGTTAAGAAGGTGGTCAATAAAGACGCAAGAGCGATGGTAACCTTGTTTCTCAAATAATAAAAAGCAAAATGTGTAAAATGTCCATACTCCATAGTAGTCACTTCCTGCTTTGGCTTCCGTACTCTGGCCATCACGTGCACTTCCTGTTGCCACAGTTTTAAGCACAGTCTTGCAAAAGTCATGTTGTGGTTAGTACCATTTTTACCTACCCCAGACATTTTTTACATTTCGTCATTCATTAAATGTCAAGAGCTTTTTGACCAAATAAAAAAGAATTCTTGTATTTTTTATTTTCAAACAGTACACCTTTAAAGTAACGCTTTGTGGACACCATTTCTATCCAACGTTCTCTTAAAAATGGTCAAACGTTGCATGCCGTCATTTTTACTTTTTTTCGAAAACGTGTGAGTATTATATTCGAGCAATTCTGTGAAATAGTTACCCTTCTGTTAATATCATTCATTCATTTCCATGAAACAGCTTTCGAAAGAAATTAAAACTAATTTTCTATTATGGTGCGTTGCCAGTTTATGAATTCGGATTAGGAAAAAAAAAATGCGTCTTCGACTCATGGTGACCTTGCATCTTTTGTTCGCATTTAAAAAGATTCAAGAGTACATCGATCATATGAAAACTGTGACAATTTTTAAAATGCGTCTGACAATTTCAAGGAAGTTCAAAACATAGGGTTTCTTTTAAAATGTTTCTCTTCTCATTTGCACGTAATAGATTTCTCTGTTTTATTGACAAGACACATAGCATTCGAAAGTCAAACGCTTATAGCAGTTCAGAGAAGAACAGAAATAAAAAAAATACTTATTTTTAACTGTAACTGTTATTTGTTTTATAGATTCTCTTTGCTTTTTCGAATTTTATCTCTCAAGGCATTTTATCTGTCTTCAGAAATAAAACTAATGGAGCAAGAAAAAAAATCAGAACTTGTATATCAAAAAATATTCTGTCGATGAAGTTTATTCTTTACTTTAATTGGAAGGACATCAATGATCGATATCATTGTGGAGGTTCACAAGCAATGTGGCAAAATGAAAAAAAAAAACATATATAACAAAAAATGTTTAAACACATAAATTTTCAATTTTTCGTTTTTCATTCAAAGTTTTACAATGCATGGATTTCTCGTGACAAATAGTTGAAGAGTAATAAGGATGGTTGCAGAAAGGTAGACAGTATTTTAAAAAGAATATTTTCTTAATATTTAAGAATTTCAAAACAGTCTTTGTAAAACTGTACACCAATTTACGCATATCTTTTATTTTTATCTTTTATTTGTATCATCTGTCCTGAAATAGTGTTTTGTTTCATTTAACTATAATATTCTTATTTTAGAGAGAGAGAGAGGGAGAGAGAGAGAGAGGGGGGTCATGACCCTAGGGTTTAGAATTACAATAGGTCAATTAACACCTTTCGAATGTCACTCAATTTTTTGTCGACACATTTAACATGTCGATACATGCGTATTTATCTTAGAACATCATAGCATGTGTGAGAAAATCACAAAACACGACTGAAAATCACCCGATATAACCCATCTAATGTAGCCAAGTGAGTGTAATGGGTAAATCAGCTTGCATCGATCAATAAAATAAACAATAAATAAATAAATTATATAATTAATTTATCAAAGTTTGGCAATCCATCAAATCAAATGCTTTAAAAAGCTTCAACTGCATGTTTTCAAAAAAAAAAAAAAATTAATGAAATATTTCAATATACTTTTTCATCAGTTTAGAATACTAATGAAAATCACTGATTCGTCTTTGAACCAATTACTTAGATTAGAATCTGTTATTAAGAGTGAAATTTTCTATCTATTCATATAATTAGTCCATTGCCAGTAATTCATAAACATACTTATCCACCGTTTTCATATTCCTTTCCACTTAATTATTATTTTTTTCTACACTTTTAAAAGTATGAATGATATCTGACATAGTCGAGTTTTCGATAAAAAAAAAAATTGGAAATTTCTGTACGATTTATCTCACTTGGTACTGCGTCTAGAAGAATGATGGGGGAAAAACAAGAATAACTGTTGGAACTTTTATTTCAACGCAAATACAGTCGTCTTTTATTTCCCCAAAGACATTTCTATGAGAAAGTAAAACATGTCCCATTCCCCAACAAGTATCTAGATTGTAAAGGCCACAATTAATTATATATTCATTTACATTATGAATAATATTTAAGAAAAAATTAATAAACATATTAGCGAAACTTGATTTTTATTACGGGATTTAAAATTACACTGATGATAATCGTAAATACAAAATAACTCAGCGAAGACTATAAATATTCTATAGAGAAATATATTATATGTCTAAAGTACACAACAATGCTGTACCCGATTATCTCAAACAAATATTTCCAAAAACTCGCTGAATTGAATCTACATATAATACAAGAAACACAGAAGACTACTCTATTCCCAAATGTAGAATTGAAACTTTTAAAAAATCTTTTGTACCCACTGCAATTAATTCCTTGAATTCCCTTTCTAAAGACGTAAGAGACACAACCTCTATAGAAAATTTTGTCTTACATGCACAGATAAAAGATTGTTATTATATGAAAAAAGCCACATCAGTACGAAAAAATGTACACATTTTCCCCCTCAAAACATCCTTGCTTTCAGTTTCAGTAATCATTATGCATTATTTAAGGTAATTCCACCCGCCTATGATGTCATAGGTTTTTGCAAAAACTGTTATTAGTTTAAATTCATACCTGATAGAACAATATCTTTTGGACAAATAGTTTTCAATAGGTGTACTGATAAATATTGTTAAATAAAAGAATATAAAAAATGCATAATTTCTTTATTTTATCAATCATTCAATCTTAAAAAAATGTTGACAAGGGCAATAACTCTTTCTCAGGTCTCTTCATTCAGATATTTGCTTTATTGTACTTCTAATGTAAAATAGTTTCCCTTATATTTACAATTCAAAAGTATCTTACAAGTAGGAAGTATTTAGGAACATTCAGCATTACGTTATATCGCGACTACCAATGAGTACCTCTCAGTTGTCTAACTTACTACCGCTCTTTTGCGGGGGAGTCGAGAAAAGTCTAAAACTCTGGGGGCAAATGACATTGTTTACAGTAGTAACAATCGAATGATTCGATCAATTTAATGCCGAAATCACGATGTTTTGCCAGATATCGAATTCCAAACAGTAGATTGTCAAATAAGGAAAGTTTAGAATATTTTATCTGCTTAAAAATTTGACGATTTTCAATGAAAATTTAACGAGAAGAGTCCGCTTAATTAAAAATATCGTTAAAAATGTGACAATTAAGGATTGGCTCCTCTCAAAAATATATTAGGCTGATTCAGCGATTGTTTAGCGAGGTATTCCACCAGGATTTTTTACTTATCTGTCCTTATAAATGCTACAATGATCGATCTTGCATTGCATTACGTTGCCCCCACCCAACAGACGATTCCTACCTCCTTCGCGAAAGAGTTCCGCTAAGTTAAGTAATCGCGATATCAAGTAATGCATTTTAACCAGTTTTTGCATATTTTTCATAATACTGTTTAAAAGAAAAGTGCGATTTTTTTTATTGACATTTTATTTATGTCTCCCA